TTGCAAATCCTGACTACAACAATCACTAAACATTTAAACAAAAAATTCCAGAAGTAAACAAGTTAAAAGTTTTAAATTGTATGCCATTTTTTTTTTTATCTTTTTCCTTTTTATTGGTACTGGGGATTGAACTCACGACTGCCTGCTTGCAAGGCAGGTGCTTATGCCCCTGAGCTAAATCCCCAGTCCCCCTGTGTGCCATTCTTGGTGTCTGTTATGGTTATGTTCAGATGGCGCTCCCAAGCCTCATGTGATCAATGGGGCTGGGTCTAGCATTTGTGATTGGTTTGTTGTCTAGTGCTGGGAATGGCAGTGTGAGTACTGCACCTGCCCAGAGGTGGAGCCAGCATATAGTGTAAGGACGGAAAGAAGGCATGTCTTTTCTGGCTTGCGGTTTATGGTGACCATGAATGGCTGCTCCACCATGCCACATTGCTGCTTGGAGCCAGCTAAATATTGACTGAACCCCCCAAAACTGTAACAAACAAACCTTCCCTTGCTTCACTTTGGGTGTCAGGTAATTTGTCTCAACAAGAAAAAAGTAACTAATACAGTGTCATTATGAAAGCTCATACTATCTTGCTCTGTCCAACCAGGACTGTGAGTCATCCCTTTGTATGGCCATAACTGCCAGTCGATTACTATTCATAGGTAGATATCCACTATTAAGTAGATATCAGGTTATTAGGTTGACTGTCACTCTATGGCAGTGCTTCAGTTTGGATGACTCTTAGTTTACATAATAACTGCCAAACAGTGCAAAAGAAACAATGACACTGGCAATTTGGATAGTGGCCAAAGAGAAACCATAAGCAAAAAGGTGAAAGTTCTTTACTCACTAAGAAAAAAGGTTATCTGTTGAGCTTGCTAAGATCTACAGTGTCTTGGTTACTTATCTCTCACTGCTAAGACAAAATACTCAACACCTAAAAGCAGAAAGAAAGGTTTATTTAGGTCACTGTTTGTGGAGGTTTCAGTCCATAATCAGTTGGTTCCACAGCGGGTGGCATGGCCCTGGGGCAACACCTCAAGGCAACAGCAAGCAGCCAGAATAAAAGAGGCAAAGAGCAAGCCTCTTTTCCTCCTTTATATTGCTACCACCCCGAAACCCTCCAGGGCCTGTGTAGCATCCATCAAATCTCCTTGCCTTCTCTTGCACAGGATCAGGGTATTTACAATGTAAGAATCCTGGTTCTTCCTTGAGTTTCTTAGTTAAACTTTTGAACTGCTGAAGTTGACACAATGTATCAACCATACAGTACATACATCCAGTAAGAATAAATCCTCTGGCCACAGAATTGTGAAGAAAAAAATAGTTTTTCTAGAATCTTATTCCTGATCATTTTGCTGTTTTCAAATCTCCAAATCCAACCCAATCTTCTACTTCAGAGTCTCTGTGTGCTTTCTCCATAAACAGTGGTTTCTGTTTTTCGTATTCCCCAAAACTACTAAAAATATAACTGTATTCCACAAACCTCTGGCTCATTTTTTCCTACAGGATTTCTGAGGATGTGTTCACCTTCTAGAAGAGTAACAGTGACTGCTTGAAAGAGGTTTAAGGAAACGAAACAGGGCACAGTGCCCAGGAATCAACATAAAAGTGTTTGCTTTCTGTAAGACATTTGCAAAATCAATAAATTCTCAATCCAGTGTATAAAATGTATAAAATAAATTCTCAATCCGGTGTATAAAAATAAAACCAGATGTTCGCTTTTCTCTATTTCCAAAGAAAACTTAAAATAATTATTACAGAATTTAAATTTTTTAATTGTGTAAATATTTGGGTCCAATACCTTACCATGTATTAGGAATGTCTTTGATTCTCCCTCCTTTTCAAGAAAGACAGTTATATAGCAGAAGCAATACTTAAATACAAGTCAAGAGACCAGTTCCAGACCAGAGTCACCCAGTCAATGAATCCTAGGCTAGGAGGAAACTGAGCTGAGAGAAGGAGGCAGTTGGAAGCAGCACAACCTCCAAAAGCCTGTCTGCCTGCCAATAGTCTTATGATTGGTCTCTCCTCCGAACTCGGGGCCACTTGCAGACCACTTAGAGTCTGTTCTAAATGATATGTGATACTTCCAAACTCTTCAATGAAAGGTAACCTGGAAGATAGGGTTTTTAGTTATTGTTATTTTTACTAAAGTACACAATACCTAATGCAAAGCTAACATTTTCTGAATGCTATGTGCTGAGTGCTATTCTAAGTGCCTTATGTGAACATATGAACTCATTTATTTTTCACAATAATCCCATGGGATAGATACTACTATTCTTAACATTTTGCAGATCAGACAACTGAGATCCAAAGAGATAAAACCCAAGGTTATAACACTAGGAAATAACAGCACTTAGATTCAATCCTAAGCGACCTGGCTGCAGAATTCATATTCTTTTTTGTTTTTGAGACAAGATCTGACTGTGTGGGCCAAGCTGGCCTTCAACTCTCTCGTGATCCTCTTATCTCAGTCTCAAGTACTGGTATTACAGGCCTATACCACTATACTGGACCTCACATTCTTAATTATATTGTTATAGTCAATATTTAATCAATTATATATGGTAATTTATGCAAATGAGCTCTAAAACTATAAAGAACTGAAGCCCACAATAAACAAATCCAAACAAAAGTAGCTCTCTGATATCTTTAAAATAGGTACACAATAGTTTGTGACCATTACAGTTGTAATCAGATTGGAGCCTGAATTTCCAGTTGTATGACTTTCAGTTTTTGGCAAAGCACTTAATACTTTTGCAGCAAGCTTCAAATCTGCAAGATTAAGCTAGTAGATTTTAGGATGTTTCTGAAAATCAACGAAATCTCAGAAACAGGAAGCACACTAAGTACACCCAACCAACAGTGTAAACAATAAATATTGGCTCTAAAACAAGAGTGTGAAGTCCAGAAAAACTGCTACATCATTAATCAACAATTATAAAAGTATTAGCCAAAGATTTAACTCAGCCAAACAAGTGCCTGCCTGGCAAGTACGGGCTGTGAGTTTGATCCCTGGTACCAAAAAACCAAAATAAAAACAAACAAAAAACAAAAAAAAAAGTCTTAAACAATAATCATGAGAACATATTTCTATTCCTTTATGACAACATACTGACAGACTTAGCATTCTTACCACAAGCCCGTAAAACAAATAATATTAATTACTTCTAATGTCAGACAAAGAAATAAAAAGCTTTGTCTGAGGAGGAGGTTAAAGTAGGAACTTTTCACACATTAAAGCAACTGCAAAGGGAAGTTCACTGAGATAAAATTCCCTATTAAGTATTCCCACAAAGGAAGGCAAATGTACCAAATGTGTGAGGATCCTGTAAAGCCTGCAACAAAGGGAAAGTTCCTTAGATAGAGACATTTAATATGGCAGTAATAACCTTTATACAAGAGTTGAAGACCCAACAGTTTGTGTGAGTCCAGGGAGCACAATTAAATACATATACTAGGAGGCCAGAATGGGCTTCCCTGTGCTGGAGTATACCTTCCCCCAAAGATGCTCAGGCCTACAGGTAGGACAGAAGAAATAGACAAGTAAAAAGAGGACTGGAAAACTGTTGTTTCTAAAAATTGGTTTTAACTGAGGGTTGTGGTGCATGTCTGTATAATCCCAGTGGTTCAGGAGACTAAGGCAGGAGAATCTCAAATTCCAGTCCAGCTTCAGCAACTTAGCTAGACCCTGTCTCAAAAGAAAAAAGGGGCTAGGAAAGTAACTTTTATTGGACAAAAAAGTCCAATAAAAAATAAACACAACAAAACAACAAAAACCCACTGTAGTAGTTTTGAGAAAACTATAGCTTTAAGGAAACTGCAGCTTCAAGACAGAATCAGAGTTACCAAAGTTTACACCATGCCCTTTATTCCCTAGGACTGCTTTTCTTCCAGGTTCCTCACTCAAATTTCTATAAGTCTCAAGGATAGTGTAAGTTCAGAAATTTGGCCAGCACTTTCCTTCTGATACTGTAAGTCTATAAATTCCAAAAGTTACTTCAAAGAATTCCATTCTCAAAGAAACAGTACTATTTATTAGTAGTTTATCTTTAAACTTCAAACACATATAAACAATTTATATTTAACCTTGTTGATAGTTTTGCATTAACCCTCTAAGAGGCATACTGACCTTAAGAAGGCAGACAAAAGGTAAATGATAACTATTTCAAAAGATAAACATTCCAGACCATTCCTCTTAAGGATACCCCATGAGCATATAAATTCTTCCAAACTCAGACCACTTGGCTAACTCACTGCTGGAGAGCCTGCACTTTTCTGTGTGCTGTGATTCTGCGAAATCTGCCTGTGCCTTTCACTGACAGGGCCCAAAATGCTTTTCTTCGAAGATACATTAAGAACCTGCAGAGGTGTGGGGGGAGTTGAGGTCTCTGTCTCCTCTTTAGGGGTCCCTCAACCCGGTCCAGTGAACCCCAGTCTTGACAGAGCCAGAGGAACTCTCTGTCTGGCAAATCGGACCAACCCCCTAAGTCCCTTCCTATCTTTTCAGCCGAGCTGAGAAAGGAAGACAGGGAGCCATTGCCCACAAGGAAACAGAGCTTGTATTTGAACAATCTTTTGGAGGTTTTTTTGTTTGTTTTGTTTTGTTTTTTTGAGGTGGGTGTCCAAGTAATCATAGGGGAAAGGAGAGTTAAAGCACTACTGGAGAGGTTACATCTGTGCAAAATGCTGCAGGGTTACGAGACTCGCGGGTTCTCAAGATCCAAAAACCTGCAAAGGATATCAGGCGACACAGCTCAAAGGATGCTTGTTATGCTAGATCAGAGCCTTATCTATTCCCACGAGCTGTGGCTCCCCAACCTTCCCTATACAAAGGCAGGACTCAGATCGGCCGCAGCCTAGAAAAAGGCAGGGGTCGCGGTCGGCCCTCGGGCGAAGGGACATCGGGACTTCCAGCTGGGCCTAGGGCTTGCGCCAGGCCCGTTACGGAAAGGGTTCGCGACTGACAAAATTGGGGTTGGCGCTTAGCCAAGAACTCACTCACCAGACCGCTGCCGCGCAGGAAACGAACAGCTAGCAGTCTTTCCATTCTTGCTACCAGCCAGGGCTCTAAGCTCTGGGCCTGCGAGCGCTACACAGTAGTTAGCGGCTGGTTTAGCCAGTCCCGCCCTCTCGCACCCGCCCCTCACACACCCCTCGAGACTCCGCCCCCTCGTGCCCACACAACCCCAAGATAAACTTGTACCTCTACCGCCTGTAGCACTCTACGTCTAGCTCTCGCGAGACTTGAGCAAGGCAGGGGGCGGGAAGAGAGCCAGAGACACAACAAACATGGCGGTGGCGGCTGCAACGGTGACGAAGACGGCGGCAGCGGCGGTGACGGCAAGGGCGTTGAACAAGGTGGTGGGGGTTATTCGGTGCGGTTGTCAGGAGGTAAATTGCAGACTGCCGACTCGGACGGCGGTTCCGCGGTAAAGCTGGGTGGATAGAAGGTGCGGGGAACGGTGAGAACTGGCTTTGCTGGGGCCGGCTGACCCCGCCCGAGCCTCGGACCTAGCTGAAGATTGTGAGCGGCCCGTCTGTGGGCAGGGTCATAATATGAGACCTTCCGGACCCGAGTCCCGAGGGCGTTGGTGTGGTGTGGCCGCGGGAGCCCGGCTGAGCACCGCTAGTGGGTCGGCGCCGACCGGCAGGAGCTCGGAGGCTGTCGGGTGCGAGCCTGCTTGGGGCTCTGACAGGTGGCTGCAGGGTGCTCTGCGGTTTGCGTCTTCCTAGGGTCCCAGGGGTTGGAGCTCAGCTCGGGCGCGGGTCTCCCAGGTGTTTGGAATCCTAGTGAGGATGTCACTTCGAATCCAAGTGAAGATGCTCTTCTAACGCTGTTCCTCTAGTTTGAGAGGACTTTTAAAGCCTCGTACTTTTTATTTCATGATTTGCCAAGATCTGCTTTTGCATCATGTGCGCTCTAACTTTGGAAATACGTGCGGTTTCGGGAGGACAGTTCAGTAAAGAAGTATTCGAATTAATTCGAACTTTAGGTCTCAAAGTATAACCAAGCCCCCAGTAAGTGCTTGGTAACTGCTACTCTGAAGTTAACTGATTATAGCTGCCAATAACCACGTGGTCCATTTGTTGACCCCCTTAATGTGCAGATCAAAACCAAAAAGAGAAGTGACAAGGGGAAGGAGATACAAAAGTCTTTTAGATTGTGAGATTTCGGGAAATTAAGTTTAGAAGACATAAAAACAATTTAAAACAAGTGTCTTAAGCATGTAGAATAACAGTATTTAAATTGTTTTACATTGTGTCTTCAAAACAGGGTTTAATACAGTGTTCTTGGTAGAGTCGAAGTAAGGTGGTTGGTATTCTTTTCCCTAACAACAGCCCAGTCTCCAAAAAACTATAACTGTTCCGTACTGCGATAGAGAATAATAAAGGTGGGGATCAAATATGCACTTGTTGGGTGTGTGATTTAAAAAAACAACAGCAACAAACAAACCCTTTCCTTACAACTGTTTCCTAAATGCAGGGAAGATTCCTTGATTTGTGCAACTGAGGCTGTTCAGCAGTAGTAAGTCTGGCTCTTTTAGAAAAACGTACTATGTCAAATGAAACCAATATCTTGAATTTAGAAAGACACCTTAAAGTGCCAAAAAAAAAAAAAAATCTTGAGAAATCGCCAGTGAAAAAACAATGCATGTTATTCTTTGGTGATCCTGTTGAGTTTTGCTGAAATGAGGCTGTTGCTTTGTTCTTTGTTGGCTTGGTTTCTTTTCAGCTAATGGAAATGGTAGGAACAGCACAAGTTGGGTTTATTAGTTTATTACACCTATAAATGCTAATAAGGTTTTGATTTGTGTTGTGCTTTTCTTTGCAGACTTCTATATGGCTTTTGAATTTTAGTTGAAATTCCCTCCATGGCCTTTTGGAGTCTCTTGCTGTGTCTCCAGAGTAAATTTCTCTTACTCTACATTTCATCAATGTTGGAGTGGCAAGAAAAAAGTGGAACTGATTTGGGGTGAAAAAAAGGTTAGATTGTATAACTTTGAGGTTTCTTCCAATGTGGCTTTATTTATGTTATGTTATGCTTTTCTAATTTCTCAGCCTCCTCACAATGTCCCTTTTTGCCTTCAAAAAGTTTTGACAGTTATAAAATTAGGAAATATGTTCCAATTATTTTTGAAGGTCCATGTTACTCTAAACCAAGCGTCATTTATCAGTATTCCTTATTGGTATGTGTTCTTTTGGAGAGTAATCTTTCAGTGTGTATAGTTATTAAGCGATCAAAGTAAGAAATGTATCGAACTATAATCACTTTATGTGCACGGCCTGCCTAACCACCATATTAAATTACTGTATAAGTTGCTTGGTAAATTTTCTCTCTTATGATTAGTAATCCTTAGATATGTCTCAAATACTAGATGAAAGAAATGTGCCCTACTGTTCCCTAATAACATTGCTCTTAAAATTCTTCCATAGTTTTGGAGAGGTAGGTTAAAAGGCTCTTCTCTAGTTCTTTCTTATGTTTCATGACAATAGTTGTGATTGCCTTCTAATTCTCGTTTTTGTATGTTTTGTTTTAAATAGCTAGCTTCTGGTAAGAAGTTCTGTGTGTGTGCATATGAGCACATATAGACCTATATGTATTTATATATTCTATGTTGTCATGTATTGATTTATTTATGAGACTAAAGAATGATCAGAGGACTTCATATAAGTGACTAAAGAAAGTTGGAGAATAGTTTAATTTACTTACTTGACGGTAAAGAGGTTTTACTGTTCTTTTGGGATATCTAAACTTAATTCTTAAATATCTCTTCTCTGTTGGCTTGGGCAAAATATTTTGTAAAAGTGTTTGTTATGAGCCCCAGCTTTGTAAAAGCAGCCAGGCATGGTGGTTCACACCTATATTCCCAGCACTTGGCAGGCTGAGTCAGGAGGATCACAGTGAGTTCGAGGCCATCCTATGCTACATAGTGAGGACTCTGTCTCAGAAAAAAATTTTTTTCTTGTAAAAGCATTTATTTTGAGCCTTGAATAAAAATAATTTAGATATACTGTAGTCAATTTCTATATAGATTGGGTATACATATACTTGAAATTTCGTAGTCGACTCAGCATAATTTTCTTTAATTTTAAAGTGCTGAAGATCAAATGTAGAGCTATACACATGCTAGGCAGGTGATCCATCTCAGAGTTATATATCCCTAGCCTAATTTAGCTTAATTAGGAAGAGTAATCACAGGAAGGGATTGGGAATTTTTCTGTATCATAAGTGATAATGGTAAGGTTTGGTACTAATTCTTTTCTTCAGTTCATATAATTAGAGCTCAGGCTATTGTAACAAATTTTGCCATAGAGTGGAGGATTTAAACAGACATTTACTTTTTACAGTTGGGGGAGGGGCTAAAAAATTTAACCTCACTGGGCAGGTCCAATGTCTGATGAGGGCCTACTTCCTGATTATATCCTATATGGTAGGTAGCGCAGAGGAAGCTGTGTTATCTTCTCATAACGGTACAGTCCCATTGGGAAGGTTCTGCTCACACAACTCTCCTGGTAGCCCACGTCCAAATGTCATTATAAAAAGAGTTAGGGATTTTTTTTCTTTTTCTTTCTCTTTCTATGTAGGTCTTTCTGCATAGTTCAGACTAGCTTTGAACTCACTATGGAGTCCACAGTGGCCTCAAACTCACCGCACTCTTGCCTCAGCCTTGTTTGGCAGAGTTAAGATTTCAACACGTAAATTTTAGGGTCTACAATCTGTATAGCAGTATCAGTAGGAAAAATAGTTCTTCTTTGGAATATACTACTACCTAAATTACCATTGGAGAATATTTAAATATATTTCTTCTTCTGATATGATACTATGTCGTGAGTGTCTAGAGCACTCTGAACTCCGGGAAAGGTAAATACGCAAACACGCCTGATCGGGACACGGGGGGTACAGTGCTCGGAAAGGAAGACAGGAGAGACACGGCACCTTTACTGCCTGCACCGCGTTACACTGCACTGCACGCACAATCTTTATTTTAAGATTCATATATAGTAAACCGGATCAGTTCACAGAGCCCAGATAATTAAGTAGTGAAAAGGCATTCTTTGTGGCAAGCTACAACGTGACAGACTACAATGTTTATTCTAAACTATCTAAGTGAAGCAAATAATCACAACCAGTTCTCATAACTTCTCTAGCCCAGGAAGAAATTCATTAGCTCAAGAATGTTGTTAATTTGTCTGCTGTTAGTGTCACAAAGGGTGGCCAGCCACTTCCTCAAGACTTCTGCAAAACAAAGCCAGCTCACAGTATGGTTTCCAGAGGGTGAGAGATCTTACTGAGAACAGGCATTCCTGTCCTACCTCGGTCTCGCATACCAGGGGGGCTATTGTAAATTGCAGGTTAGAGGGGGTTGGGCCTACAAAGTGACACCTCATCCCCCACAATACTATACATTGAAATTTTGTGTAATTTTTTGGCTAAGAAGCTCTAGTTTTTAGTTAAAATCATATCATTGAAAAAAAGTATAGTTTGCTAATTTCATGAAGTATATATTGTTGTCCCTCAGTAGCTATGGAGGATTAGTTCCAGGACCCCTTTTGTATATCAAGATCTGAGGGTGCTCAGGCCCGATTTGTAAACTGGAATAGCATTTGTGTATAACCTACACATATCCTTCTAGATTGTCTGGGTTTTGTTTTTTTTTTTGTACGAGGGATCGAACTCATAATCTTGAGCTTGCCAGGTAGGTGCTTATGCCACTGAGCTAAATCCCAGCCCTTTTGTCTGTTTTTTGAAACAGAGTCTTGCTATGTTGCCCAGGCTGTCTCAAATTCCTTAGCTCAAGCAATCCTCAGCCTCTGTAGTACTTGAGACTAAAAGCATGTGCCACCATGCCTGATTCCCTATATTCTTTAAATCATTTCTAGATTATTTGTACTTAAACAGTGTAAATAGTTGTTTTACTGTGTTGTTTAGGGAATAGTGACAAGAGTCTATATTCAGTCTGGATGTAATTTTTTTCAAATTTTTCCTTTCTGTACTTGCTTAAATCCTTAGATACAGCATTTATACCATGTTTGCAAAGGTCTGTAAGTTATTAGTACATTAGCAGCATCTCCCAATATTAATTTGTGAAATTCTTAAAGTTTCAGTTCTGAGACTGTTATTAAGGATAGGAAGAGAATTTGGATAGAAAAGTTTGCATTTTCTAACAGAACTTCTGTGTTTCAGAAACACTGTTTTTCCATATATTATACTTAAACATATTGACTTGCACTGGAGACAGCAGAGTTTGAGCCAAACTCTTCACTAAGATTTACGTACCTTTCATATGTGTGGATCCATTGCCCTGCACAGATCCCTGCAGGCACTTATCAGGTCTTTTATCATGAGTATGGCATAGGTAATATAGGATATATAAGGTTATTAACCGTATTTGTATATTTAAAATTTAATTGATGAAGAGCTTTCATGTTTACAATATTATCTTATTTCATTTGCATTCTTTAAAAAATTTTAAGTCAATCATGCATAATTGAAAAGCAGCATACAATTTATGGCAGAGAATACCATGAAATTTATAATGTGACAATGTGATAATAGCCAAGATTGTCAAAATATGTCAGCCATTCTGGGTAATTTGGCTCATTTATGTTCCTAAAGTTGAGATGCATGTATAAAAATACCATTTTCTTCTGCTTGCTTACTGGCAGTTTTAGGTGTTTTTACTGCTTTGTCACATGTTGTACTGTAATGGTGTTATACTTTCTAATCAAGAATTTCATGGTTTCTTTTGCTTATCGAAGCCTAACAAAGTACATTCATTTTCAGAGAACATGCATCAATGTTCATAGGAACTGTGATGATAAATTATGATGTGAATACTAGGGTTTTTGGGGTGTGTGTGTGTGTGTGTGGTACTGGGGATTGAACTCGGGGCCTTCACACTGAGCTTTATTCCCAACCATGTTTGTTTGTATTTTGAGATAAAAGCTTTGTTACATTGCCAGGGACTGAAACTTGCAGTCCTCTTGCCTCAGCCTTCCAGAGCTGAGATTTACAGGTCTGTGCTATCATACTGAACTGGAATTTTATTCTTAATTACAACTTTATAATTAAAACACAAACAACTGACAGGGCCTTACTGTTCTTAAAATTTTAAAAATGTTTTCCCAGATTTTATGCTTGATCATCTTTTTCATTGGGGCTGTGTAGGTCATGTTTTCTAACCAAAGATCAAAAATTAAAGACAGATAATTAGCAGAATCAACTATAGTTGCAGAACAAAAGTAATATAATTGCAGAATCAGCTCAAGTAAACATGGTAGATGTTCAAAAGCCAGCAGTAATCCATAAACATGAGAAAGCTGAGCCAGACTAAACTAAGTGATTTTATTTTCTTGGTAACAAGAATCAGGACCTCACACTTGCCAGGCAGGTGCTGCGCCACTGAGCTATCCCTGCCCTCTAAAATAAGTGACTTAAAGAGGTGATCTGAAAGTAAAATAAAAGATGAATTTGAGAAATTGCAGATGGAGGTAGGAAATTATAAATTGGGATATATGAATTAGTGAGACTGGGAAGGTTCTTATTTTATTGAAGAGCAGATGGATGTTTAGTATATTCAAGCTGATGAACTGATAGAAAAAGGTTAAAAAAAACTTAAGGTGGTGAGAAATTTTTAATCCAAGGTGTAATTTTTTGTTGCAACAATTATAAAGCTAGGATTGTCTTACAGTTTACCATATACCATACCATTGTGAAACTGTGTAAAGTATAAAACTTAAAATTTTAACATTGAAGTTGTTAGTATTTTTTGTTAGTATGTTTGCCATAATTACATTTATCCTGGGGAACTGATACATGTACATATATATTTTTTTTAATCTCCTACCCCTTCCTGCTCCTTCCAACTTTTGGTCCCCTTCCCATTTGTGAGAGCTCTATTTCCATTTTTTTTCCCTTCAATTTTTTTCCCATGTTCTTCATTCCTCCTGTTTCTCTTGTTCCCCTTCCCATATGAACAAGATCTTCCTGTGTCTTACTATCTTTCATTTTGCTCTTTATTTGTATTTTGTATTTCTCATATAAGTGAAATTGTTTGGCATTTAAGCTCGTGTCTGATTTATTTCATTTAGTATGATGGTCTCAGGGTACATCTGTTTGCTTACAAATACCTCAAGTTCTTTATGGCAGAGTAGTACTCCATTGTGTATAAATACCACATTTTCTTTATCCATTCATCGGTTGATGGGAATATAAGCTGTTTTATAAATTGTGCTGGTATAAACATGGGTATGCAAGTATCAATATAATATGATGTCTTTAACTCTTTTGGGAAAATTCTTAGAAGATGAGTAGCTGAGTCAAATGGAATTTCTATTTGTTATTTTTTGCAGGATCACCATATTGATTTCCATAATGGTGGTACTACTTTACATAGTAGTTACTACTATTACTATTGTCTCAGTCTTTAAAATAGGAAACTAAGGCTGAGTTCCTTGCTATTCAGATACTAAATCTATAGTGAGTTTGACCAGATACCAAAATATTCCGTTCATCCACAGGATAGACTTTCAGTAACCTTGACTTTCTAGAAAACAGTGAAACAAGATAGTAATAATAATTTTTTTAAAAAAATTTAGGAAGCTTCTGAGGAGAGAGAAAGGAATTATTCCCAAATGTTGCATTAAATGAGAATTTGGTCACCTGCAGATTCTTAGTTGGCTAAATGTGAATAAAGAATAGATTAGATATAAGAAAAAAGGATAAGAAATGTGAAAATAAAATGTTAGTTTGGAGCTAGTAAACATAAAGGAAAATAAGAATCATCTTTCATTGTTTCCTCAGATATCATAGGTGTCCTTTTTTTTTTTTTTTTTTTTTTTTTCTTTTTTTGGTCTTTTTCCTTTTTTATTGGTACCAGGGATCGAACTCACGACTGCCTGCTTGCAAGGCAGGCACTTATGCTGCTGAGCTAAATCCCCAGTCCCTGGGTGTTCTTATAAAAGCATAATGATGTAGGGTATTGGCATAGTCAAGGGTTGGTCTATTTTCAGAAGATTTCTAATTAAGTTGAAGTGAAGAATTTTAATTCTTAAAAGATTGGTCAAGTTTTTGTAAATTGGGAAGTATGCTCTCATGAAATCCCCTCTTGTCTTAACCCCACAATTCTGTCACTTAAAATGCAGGCTAAACAGGACAGAGGATAGTCTACATATTCTATGAAAACAAAAACATGATAGGCCAGTGGAATACAGTAGAGAATCTATAGTGGAGAAAGCTGGTTTGTTAATTGCACATTGCCAGGACAATTGGATATCTTCTTAGAAAAAAATATGGTTTGACAATTCCCTCACACCATACACAGAACTAAATTATGGACCAAAATGTGAAAGATAAAAAAAAAAAATGCAACTTTTAGGAACCATAGGACATTTTCAAGTAAAATATAGGCAAGGATTTCCTCAGTGTGACACAACCCTAAATGTAAAGGGGGAAAATTAATAAATTAGACTACATTAAAATTTATGTTTGTTAAAAGTTACCATTATATTGAAATCAGAGTGGAAGAAAGTACTTGAAATGCACATATGTAGTAAAAGACAGAATACTATAAAGATTTCTTAGAGCCAGAGTGTGATGGCACATACCTGTAAGTAATTACAATTACTTGGGAGACTGAGGCAGAATGATCACAAGTTCAAAGCCAGCCTTGGCATTTGAGACCAGTGGTAATGAACCTACTGCATGTGTGCCACAGCAGGCTGTTGGTATTAAAAGTTCTAAAGGTTTGCCATCACTGTAATACAGCCCATTGTGTGAACGTGCTACAACTAATTCATCTACTGTTGTGAGTTTATTTGGATAGTTCCCAGCATTTGACATTGTAAATAGTTTCTCTGTTCTTTGTACCTTCTTTTCATCCTTTATGACTGTGAGTCACAGTTTGATTATTAAGCATATTTTTCATCTTATTGTATGTCTTTAGCTCATTAAGAATATTGTATGGTACTTAAGTACAGGCACTATGTTTTCTGTTACTTTGCACATTATCTTGCACAAAACAGTTTTTATCACTGTTGCTTTATTGTGTATTGGGTATGAAAAGTTATTTCAAATTTTTTTCCCTAGGTATAACAAATTTGAAACTTTTTTTAAAAAAGGCAAAAATGGGTGAAAAGAAACCAGAACCTCTGGACTTCGTGAAAGATTTTCAGGAATACCTGACTCAGCAGACCCATCATGTGAACATGATTTCTGGATCAGTTAGTGGGGACAAAGAAGCAGAGGCTCTTCAGGGAGGTAGACTCATCTTAATACTCTTAAATAGTTCACTTTTTAAAATTTGCTAATGTTTGTATATAGTTATCTCTGCTGTGAGGATCAATGTGGGTCGTTCCATCTTTTTCTAGAAAGATACGGTACAAGGCATTTTTTTTCTTTTAAACATGTTGTAGTTTTGATACAAGGAGAAAGCAATGTAGTCTATAGATGTATTCTTGTTAGAAGGGTAGGCTTCTAAATCCCTTGCCAGTCCTCCAGTTCTGTTAGCTAACCATATCCTTGAGGAACCCAAATGAGATCAGAAAATATAGGTCATTTTGTTTCTGTCCGAAGAAGAGAAACTAGATTAGAGAAAGCAGAGAGGATCTGAGTTTGTTAGAGTTAAAAGTTCTCTGGTTTGCGTACCATACAGACTGGAATCTATTTCTAAATCTAGCTCCAGTTAACAAACTGCATCCCCTATATTTCATCTGAATTGCTGTTTTCATATACCTTACAATCTAAAAATGTTTTTACGTCTCAAAATGGTAAAAAAAAAAAAAAACCCTCAAGAATAATGTTATATAACATATGAAAATCGTGTGAAATTCAGACATCAGCATCCATGAATAAAATTTCATTGGAACATTCACATGCTCACTTGTTTACATAGTTCCTGTAAGTTATTTTTATGGCACAACAGCACAGTTGAGTAGTTATTATGAAGACAAAGCCTGAAATATGTACCATCCCATCCTTATAGAAGTTTGTGGATCTCTATCTGCACTGTTTTAGGTGACAGCAGAGCTCAGGCATCATCTGACAACCTGTTAGAAATGGGAAACACCAAGCTTTACCCCAATCCAGAGAATTCCCTAACTGATTTATGCACAAATCAAAATATGAAAGTCACTGGCTGGGAAAGCAGTGGGAGAAAGGGACACACTGGGTCTTGTTCCGCCAGTGTGGTGGCCATTTGACACTGGACTTGCCCCAGTCAGCAAATCATTTCTCTCAGTGAGGGTACAGTGGGGATTGAATTCCTCATACCAGTATCTGCTACGTCATGCAATGGTAAAGTCATAATGCTAAAGATACTGGAAGCAGAGGTTGTAGTCCCTGATGGTTACTGGTTTCCTGATTGAAAATCTGCCCCTTCAGTTTCTTTAAACAAAGTAATCTGATTAGATTAAAAGGAAACACCCAAACATTTTTTCTCTCTGAAATTCTTACAGTCCTAACATTCAGAGAAATCAGATAGTGTTTTCCTTTATGGGCTTAATTAGAACTTTAGAATCCTCAATGTAACTCACAATCCAAAACATACATAAGCTAAGTGGGAATAATTGTTTTAGACTAAAATAAACAGAGTAAGACTTTTAGAGACTGTTACGACTGCTAATTATAGTTGTAGGGATGACTTGCGCCTTGAACTGTATATAACCATGCTGTCACTCTTAAATGGATCATGCTTTTTAGCCCCTTGTCTTACCTATTTTCCTCTCAAAAGCATAAAGAAAAAAGAAAAAAATCACATTGAGGACTGATTGAATTTATGTGTAACTAATGAGATCCCCCTATAGAAGGTGTTCAGCATATAATCTTGCTTTTTTTGTACAGAATTAACCTCAGTTTATCTATGGTGTGAAAAACCCAAAGTGTAAATAAGAACCAAAATGTATAATAGATATTGTGAAATAGGGAAGAAAATGTTCAAATGGGAAGCGGAACTAGAGAGGGGGGAGAGGGAAAAGAAAAAAATGATGAGAAAAGAGAAAAAATGGAAACAAAGCTTTTCTAAATAAGAGGGGGAAAGGATTCAGGATTCATGAAGGGAAAATAAAGGAATTAAGTTATGTCATGTGCAGGTACAAATTCCCTACAATGAAAGTGATCACTAATGTATGTATCAATAAACTTAATTTTTAAAAAGAGAAACAAAATATCTCAGTTCAGAAAGTCTGTGTTATTTTATGAATTTAACTGTAGGAAGCGAATTTATGAAAGATTTTCAGCCTACTAAGACTAAAATGCTAAACAGACTTGATTCTGAGACACATAATTTTTTTGCTATACTTTGTTTATAGCTGGAACAGATGGTGATCAAAATGGACTTGATCATCCATCTGTTGAAGTTTCCCTGGATGAAAACTCAGGAATGTTAGTAGACGGGTTTGAAAGGACTTTTGATGGGAAGCTCAAGTGTCGGTACTGCAACTACGCCAGCAAAGGAACAGCACGGCTTATCGAGCACATCAGAATCCACACAGGTAATGGAGAAATACCTGGAAAAGCCATTGCTCTGTGCTTGTTTTTTAGTTTTTGAGATAAGAGTTCATTTTGTCACCCAAATTGGCCTCAGCCTCCCGAAGGCTGGGATTACAGGCATACCAACCACTGCTAGAGATGTTTCTTTAAGGGCAGAAGGGTCAAGGAATACAGTTTATTCGGTCAGTGTTACAAACAGTTCTAACTGTGCACAAGTGAAGGTTTGTAAGATTGCCATCAGTGGTGAAGTTGCCTTATTCCTTAGGAAGCTGTAGCTTTCTGGCATACAAACAGTGGGAAATAAGGCTACCTGCAGAGCTCCTTCTTCCCTAGCCATTTTTCTGCTTGATCCACATAGTTTCTTTGGATCTTAATTGCGTGTCAGGTTAGAGAGGTTCACACTAAGAGCAGTATGGGGTTTATGGTTATCTTCACGTAGTACATTTCAGTTTTAGAAAGAAGAGGGAAGTTTTACATAGTTGCAGGCTGCTACTAAGCAAGCCCATGTGTCACCTTAGCCAATCCTCTGAGAAACCTTCCTAACTATACCCTGCCCCTGCCCCGGATTAGGCAAGGTGTCCTCCCCATTTGCTCCATAGCATCCTGTGCTCATTCGTCATGTTACCATAGTGGTCTGAAAACCACCGGAGAATAAGAATCACAATGAGACTGTCTTTGTACCCTCAGAGCCTAGCAGGCCATCTAGCAAAAAAAAATGTGCGGATGAATGACTTTAATCATATTCCAAATACTTATATGTTTTGGAAATCTTCAACTAACAGCACTGTAACTAAAATTGTACCTTCAACAATTTAAAAATAAAGCAAAATTGCACCTTCTGGCAACTGAAGAGTACGGTGTGGAGGCAAAGTGAAATTTTGAGGGGATAATTTGTATAAGTCATGCAGGGACTAGGATGTTCATTTTGGTTTTGTGCTATTTCATATAAGCACCCTTTTTTTCAAATTTTTTTGCTTGGTTTTCCCTTGAAGAAAGTTCACATATGTGTGAATATGAATAAATAAGTTTATGTATAAATGAATGTATAAACATGTAACTTGAAGCATATGGTTGATAGAATCATTATTTTTTAGAAATACTGTTATTCTTTCCTTAAATGCCAGCTGAAGCCATAACAATTTTCATACATTGACTAATAGAATCTAAACATGTATCTCAAATAGTTTCTGATGAGTTAAACTTTATTTTACAGATTTAAATCTTTTATGCAAATGTGCATTTCTGAAAAGCATTTTATTTATCAATTTCCAAATGCAGTGAATGGACAAACACAGAATTACATAAATGAGTGACTTTTACAGTTTCTCCCCTATTTTGCTATTTTAAATAGGTGAAAAACCTCATAGATGTCACTTATGTCCATTTGCATCTGCTTATGAGCGTCATCTGGAAGCCCATATGCGTTCCCATACTGGAGAAAAACCATACAAATGTGAATTATGTTCCTTCCGCTGCAGTGATCGAAGTAACTTGTCCCACCATCGAAGGCGCAAGCATAAAATGGTGCCAATTAAAGGTACTCGGTCTTCCTTGAGCAGCAAGAAAATGTGGGGGGTTTTACAGAAGAAAACGAGCAATCTGGGCTACAGCAGAAGAGCACTGATCAACTTAAGCCCACCTTCCATGGTGGTTCAGAAACCAGACTACCTTAATGATTTTACCCACGAGATCCCAAATATCCAGACTGACTCCTATGAAAGTATAGCGAAAACTACACCGGCTGGTGGCCTACCAAGGGACCCGCAAGAACTCATGGTTGACAACCCTTTAAATCAGCTCTCAACGCTAGCAGGACAGCTGTCCAGTTTGCCACCTGAAAACCAAAACCCTGCATCCCCTGATGTAGTCCCCTGCCCTGATGAAAAGCCTTTCATGATTCAGCAGCCCTCTGCCCAAGCAGTAGTCTCTACTGTGTCAGCAAGTATTCCTCAGAGCTCCCCGACAAGCCCCGAGCCTCGGCCATCACACAGTCAGAGGAACTACAGCCCAGTAGCAGGTCCAAGCAGTGAACCAAGTGCCCACACTAGTACTCCCAGCATAGGAAACAGCCAACCCAGCACTCCAGCCCCAACCCTGCCAATCCAGGACCCTCAGCTTCTGCACCACTGCCAGCACTGTGACATGTACTTCGCAGACAATATCCTTTACACGATTCATATGGGATGTCACGGCTATGAAAATCCTTTTCAGTGTAATATATGTGGATGCAAATGTAAAAACAAGTATGATTTTGCCTGCCATTTTGCAAGAGGGCAACATAATCAACACTGAAAACAATCAGATTATGGGTTACTGGCTTTGGCTTTTTGGGAGTTTGTAGTTTGGTTTTTTTTTTCAATCATCCCTCTACTAATTTAAAGTTTATATACACTATATTTATAAAATTTAAATTTGACAGAAAATTTCTTTCCTTTTTCTTCCATAAAAATCTGGCCATGGTCTCTTATATATTAGAATAGTCACATTTGTTGTTTTTTCCTTTTATTTAGATATGTAAGAATAAGAATTCCATCCATCGTAATAAATATTCATTTAAGTTTCCCATATATGTGCCCCATAAAGACTTTATTCATACTCTTGATATTTTGATATATTACTGCTAGATTCTGATTCTGCCATATTTTAAAATGGCAGGACAAATTATTTTCTCTTTCAAATCTGTTATGACTTATTTCAATGTGTGTAGAGAAATTGCCTTTAGGTTGTTCCTAATTGAAATACAGTTTGTGTACCTTAAGTTAAATCAGTAGTTTCATTTCAACTGATGATAGTAAAGGTATTTCAAGTTAATTAATATTGAATTTTTTATAAAGGGAAATGTAAAACAATTCTTTTAAAATTAAAGTTGTAAAAATAGGTGAAAATTCTGAAAAGAAACTCAAGATCCTAAATTGAAATTGAGTTTAGTATTTAAAATACCTGTTTATTCAATGTCTAAACACTCCTTTAGTTTTCCACTGAATTTTTTGTACGTCATTTATTTTTTAAAATCATAGTTAAATATAGTAGAGTGCTAGATGCCTTTTTTCATTTTAAACTTTTTAACTAAATTCATTTTGATGTTATTAGTGTCCAGTGAGATTAGTGACTTAGTGAGAAAGTTATTCTTTCTATTCTTTTGATGACCAAAGAGGTACTACAAGGGTTATCTTCTTTATTATGAAGATGCAGTCTTTCAGATTAAAAAAAAACTCCATTTTCCTTTTCTTGCCTTCTAAGCATTTATTGCCCCTTATTTCTAAGAAAATATGGGTATAAAATGTGGGGAAATGTGATAGTAATATAGTAATATGTACCCAGAATACACCCTGGCCTCCTCTTCAAGTTGGTCATTTAAAATATTTTCTGTGAATTCAAATTACAATTCTTACTTGCAGTTTTACCAGTTTCCATGAACAGTTACAACACTTACTATATGGAAACTGTAACTGAATCATCACTTTAGTAGGGAAGAACAAAAAAGTATGAAAATGGATATAAAATGCATCTAAACATGTCATTTGTTAAAAGACTTGCTAAATCTAGAGTGATTCATTTTGAATAGGAGGCTATTGTTTTTATACTATGTAATAACTAGCTTACTCTGAAGAGTTTGGTTAAACAATAAAATATTGTTACTAACTCGGTTTCTGTGTACTTTGCAAAACTTTTCTTCTTTTTTTTTTTTTGGTTTCATATTTTGAAAATACTCATATTGGCTTATTAAAGAAAATATTTTGTCACCAAAATATTTTAACCAAAAAGGGCCTGTCCTCCTGTAGTAAATAAAAGAGAAATATTGTTAACTGCCCACAAAAACACCAAGTGCCAAATTAATGAGCCCTTTGCTCTCCCAATGCTAGAAAGCCATTAAACATGAGTGCTTGTGGTTAAATAGCCGATCTAGGCTCACCTTAAGGACACTTTATTCAAACAGGAACTTCCTTTCTTGTCAAATCTCGTGACACTAAAAATTCTATGTTTTTCTTTTGTAACTTAAATCACTCACTGGTCAGATCAATTTTTAGTGCAATTTGCAAATTCATATGGTTCTAGAACTTCGTTCTAATCCTTGTCTGTTTCCAGAAAGAAACAGGTTGTCATTTGGAAGCTTTGTAATTATTTTTTCTTCTATTTTAGTCTTCAAATAAAAGCAATATTCCAAAACAGAAAATGAAAATTTTCATAGAAGAGAATGAACTCTCCTTCAAACCAGCTTATTAACTGTACATTCTGGGCCAAATAGTGATGAATAAATTTTTCTAATAAAGATCGATGTTTTGAAGGTATATTTTAATTTAAACATGAGAAAGATTGTTTTTCATAGTTATAAACTAGAATGTAAAATCCTAATTTTCCTATGACTTTAAGAGCACAGTTGGTTCCAAAGGTCTTAATGCTTAAAAGCTATAATTCTAGATGCACTAAAAATTTTGAAACAAATCTACCTTAGAAACTTGGGATTATACTTTATAAAAGATCGAGGGTTTTATTTAAATCTTCTGAGTTAAATTCTGTATTTGGAAAGATGTTAGGGTCTTCCTTACACACTGAATATATTCCTCTCATCTTATTTTTAATCAAGTATTTTATATAAATGAGTTTGACAAAGTTTAACATGCACTATTTAGAGTACTTTGCCACTAATAGGCAATGTTCTGAAACTGAATTTATTTTTGTTCAGTGAACATGCTTAGATTTTTAAAACTGGTAGGTAATTTATCTCTGCTAATATTTTTTTAAGAAACTGTGAAGAGATTAACAGGGAATAATTTTATTTCAGATTTTTCTAATATAGTATGTAGCTGCAACTTCTAGAAACTGACGTAAAGGCTAGACTTTTACTTTGAAAAAATTTCCAGTGATGATTTCCAGTGCGATTTCATTTTGGAAAGAAATATTTGCCATTTATCTGTAGAATCATTTGACAAAGGGAGTATTATTTAAAACATAAGAGATAAACCTCATTTTAAGTTCTAAAAAAAATGTATCAAAGAATGTGTTGAAAAATTTTAAATTCCCTGCTTAAGACTTCTACTTTAGTCTTAGAGGGTATGTGCTTTCTTGAACTTTCTGTTAATAAGTACTTCGATGTAAGAACATATTTTGTATGCAAAGCATAAATCTTGCATTATGGTTGTAATGCATTATATTGTTTAGGGATCCAAAAAACAGGTTAATGCTAAGTAACAATTTAGTATATAGTTCATATTGTGAATGAAGCTTTGGTTTTGTAATATATGAATAAAAAAATAACACTTTCTAATGACGCCAATTTTTCTTTTCTGAAAACTACTATCAAATTAGTTTTGTAGTAATTTTCTGGTGTATAAATTGTTAATAAAAGAAAATGATTTTATGGTTACACTGGTTCAGATTTACGGAATGCCTTACATGAAAAGGTCTACAAATTACTAACAGCTATGTAACTGCTCTCCATCCTGTTTTGTTTGTTTGTTTGTTTTGGTCTTTTTGAGATGGAGTCTCACTATGCAGTTCAGGCTGGCCTTGAGCTCACTTTGTAGCCCAGGCTGGTCCAACTCGCACAATCCTCCCACCTCAGCCTCCCGAGTGTTGGGATTACAGGCGTGAACCCCCACGCCTGGCTCTCCATCTGTTTTTTAAAGATCCATTTAACCTGACTCCTGTATCCTGTGGGTTCTAGCATATTCTGAAGGTTTTGTCACAACCGTGAGGAAGGCTGCCTCAGATGCTTAATTATTCATGTCACATGTGACAAATGACAGACTCCAGTAATTTTCATAACAAATGCATCTTTTAGAATAAACTAAGTTTTATTTTAAGACAGGGTCTCACTACATAGCTAAGGGTGATTTAGAATTCCTAATCTTCCTACCTTTGGTCACAAGTGCTGGAACTACAACATGTGCCCCTTCTGGCTTTTCCTTTTTATCATTTTTGGTACCAGGAATTGAACTCAGGGCCTCAAGTTTGCTAGGCAGGCAGTACACTGCTGAGTTTTATCTGTAGCCCTTTTCTTTCCTAAAGAATGGTGTTTGTTGGGGCTGGGGATTTAGCTCAGCAGCATAAGCGCCTGCCTTGTAAAGCAGCCAGTCGCGAGTTAGATCCCCGTACCGATAAAAAGGAACAAAGACAAAAAAAAAAAGAATGGTGTTTGGCAATTCCTTTGGCCTCGAAAACATCTTGTTATACAAAATTATTCTTTTAACTTGTTTGCAGATGCTTATCAAACTCAGACGTCTTACCAGAAATTCAGAAAATTTAATGTTGATGTTGCTTTGAAAAATATTTCCATACAATACTATCTTTCTCATTACAAAAAAAAGAAACAACATCTGATATGCCAGTGGTTGGTTCAAAGTGCAGTTTTCCTTGCCTTAAGTCTTGCAAAATTTCTGATTTGAGCTTGTTAAGTTCTTCTGCTAGTAGCTTCAAGTTGTTAGGAAGTATTTGTTCATCTAAAATTGAAAAAATGTCTTCAAATTATTTCTGTAAGTCTACCTGGGCTACCTTGAAAGTTAATTTGATTACATCAGAAAAGTTAGATTCTCCTATAAATGATGACGAGTAAGTTGGAATAATTTACAGACAACAGGTCATATAAATGTGACACAGGAAAATCATCTTCAACAGTTGAAGGAATTTAAGTAACTTGCTATGAAGTATATAAGCAGAAAAAGACAGACCTAAAAGATTATTTTTCTTCTTGACAAGACCCAAGACAACAACTTACCTTTTGCCTGCAAAGGCAAAAAAGCAAAAATACAAAATGACAATTTGCCTTTGAACTGATAAATACTGCCTTCAAATTTGTCCAGTATCTTTCTATAATAACAGAAATGTTCTATATGTGCTATATTCAATATAGCAACCATTACTATATGAGTAGTATTACTAAGAATCTGAAGATTTGTTAGCTTTATTGATACATAATTCACATATCATAAATCCATCTACTTAAACTATACTGCAGATACATGCAACCATCACCCACTGATTTTAGAATATTCTTCGTCTCCAAAAATCAAACCAGTGCCCTTCAGCTATCATTCTTGATAAACCCACTCAGATTCCTACTTTTAATCCCTAAACAACCACTAATGTACTTTGCCTCAAGATTTCCTTGTTCTGGACATTTTAAATGACAGGAGTCATGTAATAGGTATTTTGACTTTTATTTTGTGTATTTTCAAGGTTCTTCAAATTGTATCCCATAGTAGTACTCTATTTCTCTGTATAGTTATACCACATTTTGTTTATCTATCTATCAGCTGTTTCTACCTTTGGGCTATTATAAACACTATGGCTTTTAGAAACATTCTTTTTTTTGACAGTATTGTGGATTGAACTCAGGCCCTTCACACTGAGCTACATCCTTTTTTTTTCTTTTCTTTTTGTTGTTTTGAGACAGGGTCTTGCTATGTAGCCCTGGCTGGCCTCAAATGCACAGCCATCTTTCTGCTTCTGCCTCCTGGATGGTAGCATTATAGGCATGTGTCACCACACCCGACCTGTGTTTTCTGATTTTTGTGATGGGGAGGTCACTATATCTCTTAAATTGCCTCAAACTTGTAATCCTCCCAGAGTGCTGGGATTATAGGCATATGCCACCATGCAGCTGCATAAACATACGTAGTTTTTGTAGGGTATGAAAGTTCTTAATTCTCCACATCCTCAACCTCAACCTAATTCTAGCCTTTCTAGTAGCTGTGAAGTGATATCCTTATAGTTTTTATTTATTACCTAACCATTGAGTTTGATTTGGTTCTTGGTTAGGTTCAATGTTGACCTTGTGGGGGAATTTGATTGAATTCTTATCTAATTGAGTTTGTGACCAGAATCATGGAAAGAAGTTTGTAAACCAAAGTACATCTGTCTGTCTAACCATTTATCCATATCAAATTATAGTGGGGATTGAACCTAAGCCTTTGCACTAAGCTATATACCTGACTATTTTTGTAAGTCACCCAGGGTGGGCTCAAACTTGACAATCCTCCCACCTAAGCCTTCCAGAGTGGAGGGATTATAGTCATGAGCTACTACGCCTGGCTCTCCTTATGAAATACTGTGTTTGCAAATATTTTTCCCATCTGTGGGTTCTTGTTCACTTTCTTTTTTTTCTTTTGGTACTGGGCATTGAACTCACGACCTCATGCTTGCCAGGCAGGCACTGGAGCCACTGAGCTAAATCCCTAGTCCCCATTTTTCACTTTCTTGATGACAGAGGAACTCAGTTCTTTATTTTAATTAAGCATAGATTTAGCAGCTATTCCCCCTCCCCCTAATTCTTGAAATGAGTAGGAAATAATCAAGAGTGATTTGGGATATGACAGAAGAACAGTAAATGGCTTTGAATCAGTGGAACTTGTTTTTGCTTTTATTCTAATTATGCTGCCATCTCTGTTCCTGGCCTCCTTTAAAATTTTTAGAGTATAACTCATTAGTGTGTAGCAACCACTGTTTTTCTAAAATGAAAGCAAATAAAGCACAGGTGGAGTTTATGAAACATCTGAGTGTTTTGTGAAATTTGTTTCTACACAGACCCTAATTTTAGGTTCAGTGTTCCACACTGGTTTGCAATGTAATGTTTACTTATGCGTTGTGAATTTAAAAAACACTTGATGACCGGCATATCATTTCCCTTCCTACTGTTCTGAGCCTCTGTGAAGAGATAGTAAGTGCTGGTGATGCAAGGAACGTAACAGCTGACTGGAACCAGATGTAGCTTTGAATCCCAAGTTGCCCAAGTATTTAGCAGCTCCTTCGGTAAGTGATTTGATCCACTGTGAACCTCCATTTCCCACTTGTAAAATTACACGTGAGTATGTAAAGGGACCTTAAAGAAGTAATAGCTGGTTTTTGGGAGGCTTTGGGGGGTTTTGTTTGTACCAGGGATTGAACTCAACCTTGCACTTGCCAAGCAGGCGCTTTTGCCACTGAGTTAATACCCAACCCAACAGCTGTTTTTTAAAACCAAGTTTTCAACATAGCAGTTAAATATTCAAAACCTAAAAAATTATTTTATATCTGTATTTTTTTTCTTTGAGACAGGGTGTCACTGTGCAGTTCAGCCTGGCTTTGAACTCATGTAGCCCAGGCTGGCCTTGAATTTGTGGTGAGCCTCCTGTTTTATCCTATTTTTTTTCCAAGACATGGATATATATATCTTCATATTACTTCATAATACTTCGCAATACTTTTCACTGGAACATTCTGCTTCCTGCTGATTCTCCAGCATCTAAAAGAAGCACTAGGAAAAACCAGCCACTCAGGAGAAACTTGATAAAGGGATGAATAACAACTCCAGGAGAAGACTTTTTGGGTATACGTAATGCAACTTCAGATTTAAACTGAAAATATGATGTAAACTTTAACAGCTAATAAACTAGGAAGTAACAGCAACAGAGAGCCAATTATATCACATAAACAGCGCATTACTATCCAACGTACCTTTTGCTTCCTTCATTGTCTGAGAGACAATTCTTCGGAGTGTCTGATCAGCTTTATGAAAAACGTTAGTTGAACAAATTATCCTGTCTGTTTCCTATGTAATACAGGCATTGTTACTGGAACAGTCTTATTAAAGAAAACACTAAAGTGTAAGAGACTAAGTAAAAAGGGATGTAGCTCAGTGGTAGATTAATTGACTAGTCCTAGGTTTAATCCCCAGCACCACACCAAAAAAAAAAAAAAAAAAAAAAAAAAGTGGAGAAAGGAAAGAAAAGTTAAAGTGGCTTTTCTGCTATCTTTCCTTCAGAAAGGGTCCAAATGCATTATGTCCAATTGTAAACTGGGTTCCCTCTAGGCAGCAGTAGAATGATGAATGTCTTAATACCTGGATATTCCCCCCAAAACTTTTAACTGTAGTGTTTGCTTATTACTGTGGTATCAATCTCCCATCCTGCACACTTTAAGATACCAACATAGTGTCAACTAGCTCTGTGATGTCCAAAAACTTAAGAATGTTTGGCCAGCTGCACAAGCTGCCAGCAGTTCGCCACTGCATTCAGATGTCAGCAGGTGAGTGCTGGTTAGACACTGCTGAGAAAGCATCTTTGATGTTTTACTCACTGAAAACACCGCAAGATCACCTATGAAAAACTTGCATCAATTCTGCGTTGAAGACTTACCTTTTGTTCCACATTGTCCTCAACATATTTTACTGGATTTTCCAAAACAGTAAGCAATAAATCAGCCACTTCCAGGCTACAGAAAAAGTGGGGTACAATATGGTCAATCTTCATACCAAACATGTTTTTTAAAAAACACACTAAAAAGACTTGTACTTACTAATACTAAATTTAATTCTAGAGGAGTAAAATTGCTGTAACGTTAACAAAAAGGAAAATCTAAAGTATCTCTCATTTACAAATACTAATTTCCTAAGACTCATAGATGAATCAAAAATTAGAAACCTCCCCAGTAGCTTCATAAACTATAGAAACAATTGTCACTTAAATGCAGTTTTTGTTTGGGGTATATTTATTTTCTAAAATACATAAGATCTGTATCCTGGGAACTAATCTTTTGAGGAATGAGTTTAAAAATTTGCCTCTTAAAAATTACTCATCCTATAGCCATGTGTGATGACACATGCCTGTACCCCCAGCACTTATGAGGCTGAGGCAGAAGGATCATCACAAGCTTAAGGCCAGTCTGAACTACAAGGCAAAACCCTGTCTCAAAAAAAAAAAAACAAAAACAAAAAACAAAAAACACAAAAGTGCTGATCCCCCCATAAATATCAAATGGGCTTTGAGCCATGCCTTTTCCATTATAACAAATACTAGCCATGTGAAGCTAAGTTTAAGTAAAAAATTAAACTAAAAATTCAGGTATTTAGTTACATTGGATACATTTAAGTACTCAACAGTCAGATGTGGCCAACTTTACCATATTGGACAGTGAAAATCTAGGCCATTTCTATCATAAATATCTTAAAAATGTGCTGCTCTAAAACCCTTAGAACATGTGTCATAAATGAAAAGCACTGGACATCACAACTCATGCACCTCACATATACAGAAGCAGAGTAGTAAAAGCAAGGTCTAAGCCAAGTTAGGATCTAGTACAAGTTCCTATTCTTTTACAATGTCGTCTTTTTTCTTTCTCAGTACTAGGAATCAAACCCAGGGCCGTGTGAATGCCATGCAGGCACACAGGCATGTGCCATCACACATGGCTATAGGATGAGCTACATTACCAGCCCATAGATATCTAGGAGAAAACTACTGGGCAACATATTTGGACCCCTCTGTTTTGACAAGAGTGTCTAAGATGTGTTCTAATATGCGTTCCCTTCTCTAATTTTTGGAAGACACTATAATCCTAACAGTTAAGAGTAGCCATTTACAAACTTGGCTGTCACAAGTTCAAGCTACTTGCACAAACTACACTTTCTCACTTCAGTTTGTTCTTCCACCCAAATATCCCTCAAGGACCTGTGTAAGGATCAAGTCAGTACAGGTGAAGAATCCACCTCGCATGGGGTCTAGGGGAGCCCGTGGGAAGGATGGTTCTGAATAGAATACCTGGCCTCTAACGAGTGCACTGGACTCTGAATTGTGAGGCTGTTGTGTTCCCAAGCATTTTTCTCAGGGTTGGGCCTTTCTAGCTTTCTCTCCATCAGGTGGATAGTGTCAGCAGGCAGCACGTGTGGTCTCTGGCCATTTCTTTGCAAACAGGTCTCAAGAGGGCAGTCTAAAAAGAGCTGGCAAAAACCCAACGAATCTGAAAGCAGTTTAAAATCACCAAATTACTGGTCTCCTGTCTTTCCAAACTGTGAAATAAATATACACTAAACAAACCCCAGTTAAAACAAGACTCATTTGCAATAATGAAAACCTAGTTTTAAAGTTAAACCCATATAACCCTCTAATCCAATTAAATTCTCACTAAAAGTAGATTTTGATATATGAATAAATGTTCCCATGTGTAAGAAAAAAAGTTCTGATTACATTTCCGAGCCAGTTGGTAGACTTCATATCTCATACTTTGATAATAAAAGTTGTCATCTAAAACCAAAACTAAAGGTCTAGAAACAGCAGTTTTTGCTAAGAGGTAAAAAGGCGGGGCCTCAGGTGCTGCAGAAACCATCAGATCTTGATCCCTCAGGCAGGTTATAAAGTCTTCCCACATGAGTTCAGTCCTGTTGGGTGGGGCAGACATCTGACACCCATTAATGACAGCCATCAAGAAACATTCCAGGTACTTCAGCAGTTCCTGTCGAAACATTTTCCACTGGGATGGCTATAAAAGACAGAAGGATTGTAATTTATAAGAATTTTGTATTGTTTTTTCAGTAGGGTGGTGATACAGTCTCATTGCCACTCCTCTCCATATGAAAATTTTTGAGTTTACAATCCTGAACCATTCGGAGTTTTCTACAACCTGTTTCTCACAATTCCATGGCTTTGTATGTACTGCTCCCCCTGCCTAGAAAACTTCATGCTGCTAGCTGTGTGACACCTTCTTTGACCTAAGTGAGCCCAACCCCTGCTGATCGCAGCACCCCATTCTGTACAAAATATGTCTCCACTCCAGCAGCACTTGTACTGTTCAGGCATTTGTTTCTGTATCTCGTGCTGCTAGATTATATGTAGCCTCAAGCCAAGAGTCTGGCATCTAACAGAAATGTTTGAGTGGACAAATGAGAGAACGAAAAGCTGTTATCATCCAAAGGAACCAAAATCCATATCCTGCCAAATTAAAATAGTCTGGTCAAGACATAAAAATGCTGATTTGCCTTTGAACCAACAAAGACTGTGGAGAGAACGATGGTCAGCTGAACGGTGCCTGGGTTAAGATGTAAAGACCTCAGGTTACCCACCAGGCTGTTCGGAGACTGAACAAAGAAAGCTGCTTGAGGGGGAAAATACAAATAGCTTGAGAATACACATAATCTGATGTCATTCGAGGTCGGTGGACAGCACTGATGTTCTGATGCTAAGACTGGAGGGAAACACAAGGACAGGAGACCACGGAACCTCTCTTGCCAGTTCCAGGCCTTACCACATCAATGGGATGACACCACACACAAGTCCATCACTAAATCCACTGCAAAGAAAACATGTCACTTCCTAAAAAGTAAGATTTTCTAATCATAGTGACCAAATGAGTCTCATGGCAAGTAACTGCAAAGAAAGAGTAGAAAAATAACAGCAATGAGCGAGGGAAAAGCCAGCATATATAACAATCACTATCAACAAATTTTAGCTTTCTCCCTAGTGGTGCTACCCTAACACTGTATTTACATCACAATTAGCCAAGAATGAGGAAACAGCTCAACTTGGATGCAGAGGTCTAGAATTTTTCCACTCACCAAATGTATAATATCGTTGCATATATAAAGTGTAGTCACATATTTGTATTTGATTTATGTGAATTCATCCATAGTCAGGCATTAGCCAACAAAAATAACTTAAAAACTTCAGCGTATTTCAGTGTATTTGCTTTAAAATGAGAATGTAATTGTAGACAAGAACTAACGCCTCTTCCCTGGAGGCGTTAGTTCATTTGCTTTCCCCAAGGAGTACACCTAACCATGCTAAATTGAAGGCTTGGAGATCAATATACACAGTTCACAGCCTCAGTCATTCGAGTATCTTTCCTTAGAACCTAATAATTGTTCACAGACAGCAATTATCCTCCACAAGTGTTTTCTTGGCAGAACTTTTCCTTACTGCCGATTGGCTACTAACCCTTAACCCATCTCCATTGAGGCAGCAGCATTCCAGGATCATAACAGGTTGCTCTACACCCTTAGCTGTCTCCAGTATTCTATGTTTTGGCGTTCATACAGCCTTACCATCCCTAAGATGCCACCAAAACACAATATTAAGTTTTAATACGCTACTTTATTAAATTACATTCACCGTGGGAGATGAAGCATGTTTTTAAATTATAAAAATAGGCATTTTATAAGCATTTTATTTAAAATTCACTGTTTTTCATAATTTGTGAGTGCTCCAGGAACATAACCTCCCACAAATTCTGGGGGTCCACGGTACTGTACTTCGAACATTAAGCTGGTGCTAAATAAAAACCCATTACTTCATCTGGTGGGCTATTAAGAAATGGCTTCCAATGCAGATTTGCCCTGAGAGGAACAAAGGGATAAGCTTTAGATGCCAGGTCCTTCACTTAGAGGGCCTCTCTGAGTAGAGCACTGAGGCGTTTGTAATCCCCGCTACTCAAGAAGCTGAGACAACAGAACTGTACGAAGCCAGTTCAATGCCAGCCTGGCCAACAGCAACAGCCCATCTTAAAATACCAAACCTTCAAGGTATAGGCTATGCAACACATGGAAGAACACATAAACCACACTGTAACATTCTAAAACTGTTGTATTTTAACTATTCAGTGATACATTTCTATGGTCTATTTCTTTCTGTTTTTGCAATGCCAATCCAGCTCCACAGTTCTCTAACTCCTGCCTCTCCTCGCCTGTCACGGCTTCCACCCTCATAGGAGATTCGGCCTAGTGCACACACGCTTGCTCATTAGAAACAGGGCCACCTCGGTTGGCTTGCGAAGCTGCGTCAAGGACCCCAGGCCCCGCCCCTCCCCCTCCCAGCTGACCGGCGGTCCCGCGCCGGCGCCGTCCAGGAGCGCATCAGGAAGTATGTCGTCGTAGGACAGGACGCCCACGGCCCAGCCCCGCTCCCGCCGCAGCCAGTGAGCAAGGACGCGCGCGAAAGTCGACTTTCCTGCTGCGGGTAAGCCGCAGAGGACACAGAGTCCTAGCTGCCGCGGCCCCTTGGTGTCGGTCTCCATGCCGCCTGTTCCGCACTAGAGAGCTGAGTCTCCGGAGTGGCTGCCATCCAACGCGCATGCGCAGTGCCTGCCGGCCCGCTGCGCCCCCTGCCGCCACGGCGAAGGAATAGACCAGATTTAGAGTCCAGACAAGAAGTCGGCCTGGTCCGGGCTACTTCCGGGGGTCTGTGGGCGCCCCCTGCCCCTGTGGCCAGACCTGCGGGCGGGAGAGTTCGCGGCGCCGCGTTCCTGTCTCGGACATTCCTAAAGGATCCCAGCGATAGGGTTAATCTTCAGATCTTCTATGTCTATGCCTTTTGTTGGCACTGACTTTCCCTGAGCACAGCTTCCTAAGACCTTCAATAAATGTAGCTGCTTGCCATTTGCTACTGAATGTACACTTGGCAGTTCTTTCCTCACTGTTCACAAGAGTTATCTTAGTTGCTTTTTCTTACTGCAGACTCAAATTACCTGACACCCAGAGTTAAAGGAAGAAAGGTTTATTTAGCTTACGGTTTGTAGAGGTATTAGTTAGCTGGCTCCAAGGAAGGGTGGCAGGCAGACAAGGCATCATGGAGGAGAAAATATTTCATGGCACACAGAAGATAGCAAAACAAGCAAGGGACGACCACAACTCTTTCTATCCTTTATATTTTATCAAGGCTACTTAGGGAAGGTAGTGCTTATCTCCTTAATCCCAGTGTTACAGACAGCTAAATTAGGTAGAATATTGTCAGACAGGGCTAGGCCCTCAAAGGAGTCAGTGCAGAAGACAGGATACATTGCAGCTGTGGAAGAGATACAGACTCATGCTCTGAGGGCCAGACCTCAAGACAAAAGGTGAAATGAATGCACCCCCATACTTCCCCTAAGGATAAACCACAGTGACTAATATTTTAAATAGGTATCTGATCATCCTGGGAAAACCACAAAGAGCTATTGACCCACTCCCTGCAGGAAAGACCCTTATTCTCTCTTCTTGCCCACTTGCTTCATCCTCATTTGGTCCCCACTTAATATTACCTGAGCAATTATCTTTATAATCTTATTGGGCAACCATAATTTTACCTCACTTCATGCCAACGTGGCACAATATTGAGCAATGATAGTTTTATTTCATGCCATCATGGCATGATAAGAAAGACAAAGGACAAACAGAAGTTACTCTCAGCCAAGTACTAAGTTAGGTGAATGTCATATTAGAGGTAGCTAAGCCCCAGGTTAGCAGAATCTGTCATTTGCCATCTTTTGATTTATGGGTGAACAGAAGTGGTGGCCATTTTAGATTGCTCCCTGCTGGAGAGGGACATCGTGGTGGGGCTGATGCAGTTGTTGGGATGACAGGTTAGGCCCTTGTAGAAGCTGGTGTCAGAGCTCTCAGCCACGACAAGTAGCTCTGTAGTAGTGAAGGCCCATATCCTGGCTTGAAAAAAGTTTTTAAAAATAAGAGCTGTAAGTAATAATATGATGAATATTATCAGAGGTCCCGGCGGTGGGAGGAGATAGGGGGCTTATCCTCTCAGAGAAGACCAGATGGAAAAACCTTGTCAGTGATACTAATGTTGCTGGAAAGAGTTGAATGTTGCATAGGGAGAGAAGTAGAGAGCTGTGGTGTGGGGGATTCAGGCATGTAGGGGGAGAGGCAAGAGCAAGCATACTTAGGAATGGGGCTTTAATGGGCATTGAGTAAAATATGAGGCCTGAAGAGGGACCCACTCCGTCATAAAAGGTGTATCTCTATGTTTTGTCTAAAGAGTATTGGTGAAAGATGTTTTGAATGATTATGTCTAAAGTGATGTTTTTTGTTAGTTGTTATAGTTATGTTTGTGTGGAGGGGTAAAGCTGGCAGTACAGGAAATGAAGAGTAACATGTATTGATGGCCATATAGTTAATCGTTGTAAGGGTTTTGTTACCAATTTTGGAGACGATGGAGATGAAAGTGGGGCATTGTGGGAGCTTTGGTTTGAGTTGAGTTTATTTTTGTTGTGTGTTGTAGTATTGAATGTTGGTTTAAACTTGGGATTTTAGGTTGAGATGCATGTGGGAGAGAGGGATAGTGAGTTTGAAAAGTGTGGAGTAGACTGTCGCTAAAGTTATGTGCCCTAGAGGGAGAATGAGCAGGAATAGTGGAAGATGGAGTAAGACTGGGGGCTTTATTTTAGGCAGTGTAAGGTGTTTGAACCTAAAATTATAGTAAAGAACAGCAGAGTTTTGGTGTTGTAGGGATAGATTGTCTAAAGTATGACAGTGACGATGAGAACTAGCAATAAAAAAAAGTCAAGGAAGTCAAGGTAATAACAGCACACTGGGCTATCAATGAGTGAGGTGGAGGTGTGGAGGTCTTATGATGAGGTGTGTGTGTAACATCTATTAGTTTTTAATCTGAAGTGTGTCCCCGAAGCTGATGAGTTGGGAAAGAAGTGTCTCTGAGGAGAGGTTCTGGCACAAATATGATAGTTGTGAGTGATTTGATGAATAATATTTTTTAGAGAAGGGTCAGTCACGACTGAGGTTAGAAGTTTATATGAGACTTGCATTTCTATATGAAAGCAGTTATGTGTTTTAGTGATGATGTCTAAGGCTTGCTGATCTGGGAGGAGGAGCTTTGATTTTTGGAAAATTTATCTCTAGTGTTTTGGTTATAAGTGGGTTTGTGAATTAATTGTGGTTGTGTAGGTGAATATTGAGGTGAGGGCAAGGTGTTCAGGATGGGGGAAGAAGATGAGAAACATATGACTATTGTGTAGCTAATTTGGCCTGTGTCTATAAAGGTATCATCCTGAGAGTTAGAATCTGGGGATGTTTGGTGTCTCTTATAGTGGATAACTGTTATCTGTTTTGCTAGTTGTGTTGTCTCTAGCAGTTTGAGACAGGTGCATTAGTGATGGGGGTCCCGTGGGTATTAATTAGATTTTTTTGTCAAATGGTATGAGAGGAAAGATGTTAAATGTATATTTGGAATCAGTATAGATGTTTATGATTTTGTCTTTAGTTAGTGTGAGGGCCCGTGAGGGCAATTAATTTTGTTTTTTGTAAAGATGTTTTAGGTGGCAGTGGGCTTGCCTCTATCACCTTAGAACCATTGATTGTAGCATATGTTGTCCTCTTTTGAGTGTGTTGGTTGTGTTGTCATTGATGGACCATGTATCAGAAGCTGTAGGAAGAGGAATACTATTAATGTGAAGGACGGGAATAGGAGTCAAATGTAGGAGCTCAATATAATTGTGGACAGGGTCTCATCAGAGCTGGGAGATAAGGTGTCTGGATTAAGGGAGCTGCAAGCACAGATGGTGATTGTAAGATCTTGTGTGAGTATTAAGTGAACTTGTTATGGGTTAGAATGTGTCATTAAGGCAGGAAACGTCTTGTGTGAAATAAGGTTGTTGGGATAATAGGATGAGTGGACTGTAATTGACTGGATTTTTTGGTACTGGGGATCAAACTCACGACTTCATAGGCAGGCGCTTACACTGCTGAACTAAATCCCCGGCCCCTGTAATTGACTTTTAAAGTGAACTCTTTGGCCTTTTGTGTGAGTAGGGCTGCTGAGGCAAGTGTATTATGTCATCTTGTTTTGAGAGGTAGGCTTTCTGCTTGGAAAGAAGGTTCTGTGTGTGTGTGTGTATGTGTGTGTGTGTGTGTGTGTGTGTGTGTGTCTCCTAAAACTCCTATAGCATTATGATTATGAGAGGTGGAGAGCTTGGCTTGGGTAAGGGAGAGTGAGGGCTGGGGCTGCTGAAAAGGCCTCTTTTAGTTTAGAAAAGGAGTGTATGGGAGTAGCTGGGTTGAGAGGCTCTGATAGGGAACTTTTTGATGTCTTATAAAGTGTGGCAAAGTTAGGAATCCAGAGATGAAAGAAGTTTGTTAAACCTAGAAAAGATAAAACTGTAGTTTTGTAGTTGGCACCTGGAGATCATGGAGACAGACTTTGCGATGTGCATTTACAGAGTGAGTGGGGGGGGTGAGAGTGAGACCCATGTATTTAACCTTTGGTGACGCTATTGGGCTTTAGTAGGGGACACCCTGTGTTTGTGACTTGAGAGAAAGTTGAGGAGGGTGGCTGTATGATGTATAGCTATAGTATAGGATGGAGAGCAGAGGAGAAGATCATCTGTATATTGGAGAAGAGTTAGGTTTAAGACAGAGCCATGAGGTCAGCACAAGGGCGTGGCTTAAGAAGCGTGGATTGTCCCTGAGATCTTGAGGTAGGACTGTCTAGGGAAGCTGTGTAGACTGGATAGTGTCTGGATTTGTCCACATAAAGGCAAAGAAATCTTGGGAATTGGGGTGTAAGGGAATAACGAAAAATGTATCTTTAAGGGCTAATACAGAAAAGTGAAAGGCGTATGGAGGAATATGAGTCAGTGTAGTGTAAGGAATTGGCAACACTGGGTGAACTGGCGCTATCACATTGTTAATCACTCTGGGATCTTGAACTAGGCGATAGGAGCCATTGGATTTGAGGACAGGAAGAATAGGGGTGTCGTAAGGTGAGCGGTTGACTTTCAGAAACCCATTAGTTAACAAGGGTGGATTATAGATTTGAGCTCCCATTGATGTTTAGGTATTGAGTAGGTATCCTATTGGGTATTGTGGAACACAAGGGAAAACTGAGGAGAGTTTGAGGTGAATTAGCAACAGAGGTGGCACAAGTAGGATTGGAAGTGTCCCAGACTATAAGGTTCAGGAGGGAGGTGGGATGGGGAGGTGCTGAGTCACCAGCACAGGGTGGTTGGGATTGGAGTGTGAGAGCTGGGGAGTGGGGGAGAGAGTATAAGAGATGTTGAGTTTTTGGAGTGAATTTTTATCAAAAAGGGGTATAGCACAGATTGGGATAACAAGACCATTGTTGTGAAGAAAAGGGTTTGGAATCTGCAGGGAACAGATCCTGTCTGAAGAGGTCATGTAGGTTGGCTGTTCACTCCACAACAGACACTGTGGCCTGGAAACTCAGTAAAAATACTATGGGTAGCCTCCAAGTCAACACGGAAAGAGAGGGTTTTACCTGAGCTGTCTAGTGAGACTTGAGTGTCTGAGAAAAATACCTAGGTGGGAGCTGTGGGCCCAGAATCCTGTCAGTCCTCCTCAGTGTCACATGATGCTGAGCAGATCAGCTGGTGATGAGTCCAAGGTAGCAGTGTCTCATAGAATACTATGGTAAGGTGATGACTCACCCGCTCTCTGGTGGACAGGGCAGTTGCACTTCCAGTGGCCCTCTTGGTTGCAAATGGGACAAATTTCCAGTTGTAGCCACAGGTCAGGGCAAGCTCGTGTCCAGTGTCCTTTTTCTGCCATACTTGAAGCATGGGGGAAGCAGGGGGGCTCGGGTTTTTAGATTTTTTTTTTCCTGCCTGTGTTTTATCTTGAGCCCTGAATGCTGCTGCATCTTTGGGGCCAGAAATTGGCCTTAAAGTTTAGCCTGGAATGCAGTCATTTTAAGGTCATCTTGTTTTTGCTGTTTTTCTCTATCACTGAAGACATGGAAAGCCATATCTAAGAGGTCTCCCTGGGGAGACTGAGGACCAAGGTCTGACTCTTTGAATTCAGTCTGAATGTCTGGTGATGCTTGGGAAATAAAATAGGAGTTTAATTTTTTGTTGGGAGGATAGAGTGGAAGCAAGAATAACATAAAGATCTTTATAGATAGGATTGAATAACAAATTTAAGCTGTGTGATATAATTGTATGGGTCAGCAGCAAAGGATATTAAATGCTGAAAGATATGTGAGAGATTGGAGAGGGAAAAAGGGACATGAACGAGGGTTAAGCCTTTGGTACCTGTCACCTCACAAAGGAGAAGGAGAAGTTGGGGTGAGCATCATGTCAAAGATGCTTAAGGTAGGGATAATGAAGGCAACCTGTGGGAAGGGTCACCACGTGGCAGTGAGTATGAAGGGCCTCAAGATGGCGGTAGAGAAGAATGAGAGCTGATGTGGTGTGGTGGTGGAGAAAATGGCAATAGTGGAGCAGAGGAGGAGCAGGAAGGGGAGGAAGTGGTGAGGTAAGGAGCAGAAAATGATGACAGATGAGTAGTGGGGGAGGTAAAAGGTAGAGGAGAGGATGGTGGCAGTGGAGAACGAGGAGAGCTTTGTGGGTATGGTAGGAGGGGTTAGAGTGGAAAGAATATTGTCTTAAGGTCCACAGGATTGTCAGGTAAGGATTTTGGCAGCATGGAGCAGACCAAAAGCATATGGCTTGCCCCACATGCCTGAATGAAGGAGGGGCATGCTGCAAGAACAAAAAAGTTCTGAAGATAAGGAATCTGACCATTTGCTGTCAAGGTAACAAAATTGCTTAAGTTGCAGAGGGTGGTGTAGGCCAACCTATGCACCCTTTGCAGACAGGGCCTATTCCATGCAGGTTCCACACTCTCTTCTTCGCTGGTTGATCCCATACTTTGAGATACCTCCAATCCCACCTGCACTACCCATGCTATGCTTATTTCAATTCGTCTCAGGATCCTTCAATTTTTCCTTGCATTCCCCAATATCCCATAGCTCCCAAACATTTACAGGGACTTATACCTATAACTAAGAGCCTTTTAGACAATGGTTTTCTTAAACCTACCCATTTACCCTATAATACTCCCATTCTCCCAGTACTCAAGCCTAATGGGTCTTATCATTTAGTGTAAGACCTTGGGGTAATCAATAATGACATTACCCCAATCCACGCAGTGGTGCCAAACCCTTCTACTATGCTCTCTCATATCCCTCCCTGCACCATTCACTTTACAGTCATAGATTTTAAAAATGCCTATTTATTTCTTTGTTTATGCAGACACCCAGACTAACCCAGACACTCTGAGGTCTCAACAATTTACACCTGTCATCTCTAGTAAAACCTCTCCTCAGACATAACATCCCTTTCCTATTCATCGAGTTTGCAGACACAACCCTGGTCAGGACTGGCAAGTAGATTTTACACATATGCCCTGCCACAAATCTCTCAAATGACTTCTCATCTTTGTTGTGCTTTTCCAGGATAGATAAAAGCCTTTCCCATAAGCAGGGAGACTGCTGATATACTTACTAAAGTATAGTAAGGAAAACATCCCAAGGACTACAACCAAGGTAGAGTGGCCCTACCTAGTCTTCTTGGAAATCCCAACAGTGGTCAAAGTTGCTGGACTGCCATTCTGGTTTCATATCACTCAAGCTAAGCGGTGCCCTCCCAACCCTGAATCTAACCATCCTGAGTGGTCGTCTCATCTTCTATTGCCCACCCGTCTCCATCTCACCAAGGCCTCACAGCCACAACTCTCAGGTTAAGTCATGTTTTGCTATCCAGTTTGTTCCTAATTCCTTACATTCTATTAATTATCTTTTTTCACAGCAGGACTCTTTAACAGTCTTTCCTAAAGACTCCCACACCATGCGTAACATCATCTTCATGTTGTTCTTTGTGACAACTGTCTTAGTTCTCTCTACCCTCAGCTATTTAGTCAAATGTGAGATCCCTGAGGGCCTAGGCTCTTATCTCCCTTATAGTGACACAGCCATGGCCCTCCCCACCCTTCTTATTCTTTCCAGCTCAACTCCTGGACCACAGACAAGCCCTACCTACCTACACTTTTAACTGTTACCCTTTCAGATGGGGGGAATAATCACCTTTCATAACTTCACTCCTCCTAAAGCCATACTTATTTTTCAGAATTACTGTGGTCCTGATGGAACAGCATATTTAAATAAAGGACATCTTTGCTTCTACCTCCCTGGGGTCCTTAAATATGATAGTGGCCTGCATCCTCATAGCACCTTATCTCTTTGTTTTTCCAGTCTAAAATGCGGGCATTCACCAATGATGATCTTGTCTTGGCTGAAACACCTGATACCAGCTTCTACATGGGCATCAACCATCATCCTGTCAACCTTGCTAAACCCCAATGCAGAGCCCCCTTTCATCAGGAAGTAGTAAGAAAGAGACTTCACCCTTTTCCTAACAATACAAAGATGGGAAAGAAAGGTTCTTGCCTCAGTAGAAATTATGGCAGTGGTCTAACGAGGCAGAAGGCCAAAGCGGGACGCCTACCACTTTCTGCTTCTTCCCCAGGGTCCTGTTTGCATGTGAAGCAAATGTAATTGGCTGCTTGCGTGTCAGCAATGCCTGCCCTAAGCGCCACCCCAGTCGAAAATTATATGTATATCCCATGCCCCACATTTTCTGGCATAAAAAGCCAGGCCCTGGCAGTCATGGAGTTCTCTCCACGTCCTTAGAATAAAGGCTCTTTTTCACTTTATATTATCTCTTTTATCATGCCAAAAACTCTTTCAGTTTTACTCTATAAGTCCCTGGAAAAGACAGAACCCTTGGCAACTTGCTTGGGTCCCCTTCTGTCTCTGACAGAAGCATTCTTTCTCTCAATAAATATATTCTACTCTTCACCTCCATTGTTCCTAAAATTCATTCTTCAGTCTTAGAGAACACAAGCTCGTGGACATAGTAGGTTGGGAGTTTCATTCATATATCAAAAGACAAAAGAGGCCTTTATTGTGGGCATAGAGATCTGGAGAAGAGATGCAAGCACTTTCAGCACAAAGAAGTGAAAGTATTTTTATCAGGTTTGGCTGGAAGGGCGAATTTGAGAGATGGGCAAAATAACACATCAACAGTTGATTTAAAGGACCATCTGCATGCGCAAAACCGGAAACAGGATTTACTAGGGGCTGTGGTTGAAGCTCTTGGATGGTTGTGGAGTCTTGGGGTTGGAGAGGACTCCGCACACAAACAAAAAGGGAACAGGAGGTTTATTTCTGAAACTAGAAGGAAAACATGGAAGTTACTCTTAGGTAAGTTGCTTCTCTGGGCCCGGTATCAAGTTGGGCAGATGTTATATTAGGGATAGCTAAGCCTGTGGTTAGAAGAATCTATTACATTTCATGGTAACAAAACCATCATGTGGATTTTACTTACAGCTAATGATTAAGAAAGCAAAGGAAGCCAGGGACTTAGCTCAGCAGCATAAGTGCCTGCCTTGCATGAGGTCATGAGTTCGATCCCCAGTACAAAAAAAAAAAACAAGAAAATGAAAAAGGGGGGATGTCTTCTTTGCCTTGTAAGTAGTGCCTGGGTGTCAGTCTCCAGGCCCGCTGATGTCTAGCTTTTTGCACAACATTGGCTGTGAATCCCATAATGCAAGTCAAGGATATGAGCAGTGGTAAAGGGCAGGAAAGTAGCATTAACAAGCATGGCTATGTAGGGACAGACAAAAAATTTCAAGATGTCTTCTTAGGACCTATAGAAGTCTTGGGGTTTTATATTGTATATGTGCTAGCAAGTGAGCACATTTGGGGTTTTATGGAAAAGGAGGATAAAGTTGGAGGTTCATACATCTGTTGGGGGGAGTGTTGGAGTCACGTATCTGTTGGCACCATAGGTAATCCTGGTGAGGGGGCTGGGGATTTAGCTCAGCGGCATAAGCACCTGCCTTGCAAGCAGGCAGTCACGAGTTCGATCCCCGGTACCGATAAAAAAGAAAAAGACAAAAAAAAAAAAAAATTTCTGGTAATCCTGGTGAGACTATTACTTCAAGACTGGTATTCCTCAAGGATAGATTATTTCAAATGAATCATTTGAAATGTGTCTTTGGGAAAATTATTTTTAAAAGGATGTTTAAAATCTTTTTTGTGTTGTGCTAATGATTAAGGAAGCAGCGGAAAGTGGAGAGGTCATGTCCTCTTTGCTAGGAACCACCTAGAAAATTACTATAGTTCACTTCGGCCGTGTGTGAGACAACTGGCACATGGGACAGCAACCTGGGGAGATGTACCCTGAATGTGAACAACACCATCCAATAGGGTTCAGCCCAGGAGGAAGAGGGTAGCAGGAGAAAGAGGCCTGCCATCAGTCCTCTTTCTCCTAGCTCCTCCCACCATCCTGATTGCCTTCTTCACCCATGCCCTTCCACCATGTTTCAGCCTTGCCACAGTCCTCAAGCAATAGAGAAGGTTGGCCACGAACAGAAACCTCTGAAAAGGAATTGAAACCCTGAAAGAGGAAATAAATATTCTCTCTTTTAAATTGCTCTTCTCAGAAAGTTTGTCACAGTAGTGAAAAGCTGACTACTACAGAATTACAAAGTCAAAATATAAATGCCTATGTGTAATACCAACCATTCCAGTTTATACAATCATTGTGCAGATGGAACGTAGCTGTTTTTTGAAAAAGACAAAAGGACTCTACCATCCACATTAGGGGATATAAGGAGATTCCCTGGGATCTGGAAGTAAATGCTGTTTTCCATGTAGTTGGGGTGTGTGGGTGTCAGGGTCCTCAGTATCCTGCCTATTGAATCTTTAGAGGCTGAGTAGTAAGGGGAAAGAAGCTGTCTTTGTTTATTTCTCCTTCAGGTAGGTGGACACTGAGGCAGTAAGCCCTACTTCCCTGATTGATAGGCAATATGTCTGTAGCTGTTGCATGATACAGTGCCCAAAGCTCAAATACAAGGTGCCAGCAAAGGAGCTACAGAACTTTGGTAAAAAAAAATGTAGAAAGTAGGGGCTGGGAATTTAGCTCAGCGGCATAAGCGCCTGCCTTGCAAGTAGGCAGTCGTGTGTTCGATCCCTGGTACTGATAAAAAGGAAAAAGACAAAAAAAATGTAGAAAGTGATTTGGTAAGCCTAAACTTACTAAATTTTGATTTTGTAACCCCAGGTAGTTGGGACAGCTACTTGAAACAGAAATGAGGAAAACCCGCTTATCTGCATTGGGTAGCTCTGCCTCCCTGTGTTACTTTGCCTTCTCCATTTACATCCATCCACCTTAAGTGCCTTAAGGAAAAAAGCTGAGTGCAGAACGTTGGAAAGCTTTGAGAAGAGAAAGTACGCAGAGCTTTATTGCTCAGTTGGATATTAGTGCCCACATTTAGACTAACTTGGTCTTTGGAACACTGCCAGTAATCATACAGAGTAATAAATAATCCAAAAAGCATTCCTACCGTCAATGGAGACATCCCAGAGCCAATTTTGCCCTCACATACAAACCTATGTCCTATCCCAGTGATGCTGTATGGACAGCAATAATTTTCCCAGTAATGATGGATGACAGCATGTACACACTATTGCCAACCAGAGAAGCTAATTGGAGTCATGGTGTACTAGGTTTTTACCAGAGTTGGTTACAGGCATGGGACCTGTGCCATATTTATTATCTTCAGCCCGTCCAGAGGTTAAACTAATACTGTGATTCCAGCATGGTCCTTCACTATAAACCATATTGTTGATATAAACTATCTCGAAGGGCCTAAAGAATTCTAGATTTATACAAAGATATGCTTACCTGGAAGGATATTCCAGTAGCTTAGAGGTTATCTCCTATGAACTGTTAAGAGGCAGCTTTGAGACGCCCAGATTGTCTGAATTAACCCTTTCCTGCATTATAGTTTTAGGACAAGAAAGCATCACACAGGTGATAATATTAGTGTGGACATAGACTCAACTAGTTTAAAACCTTTATAAGTATTGCTATATTTTTTTTTCAGACAGGCTGTACTAAAATTTGTATACAGATCAACAATGTTGGTAACCATGGATAGGTTATAAATGTGGTAGAAGTGAAGAGTGCTAATAATAAAAATAAGGGAAAGGACAGGGTAGGGTGGTCAGTTTTTTCCCCTCTCTTCAGTTGCAGGCTTGGTATTAAGGCAGGGTGAGAAAGAATTCCACAGCTTTGGGACCTGCAAGGAATGGAGGAGGAAAGGAAGGGAAGAAGTAAAATGCAAGTGGACCTAGCTGGGAGAAATTAAATTCCCATAACTACCTTACTGGGAAGTATAATCCTAGGTAGAAGATAGGTCATATATAAGAAGAATGTAATTTAAAATTAAGATGATTTAGAAAGAAAAAGCAAAACTAAATAAATAAAGATGGCCTAAATAGTTGCTCAAGAAAATCAATAAGTAAGTCACTTTCTTCTAAAATGTTCCTTTCCAATATGTACTGGCTCACATTCTGATTCTGTTTGAGACAGGGCTGGTTTTAAACTCATGAGCTCAAATAATATACTCACCCTAGTCTCTCAAGTTGTTGAGATTTTAGGCATGTGTCACTATACCCAGATGAAAACAGGTTGAAATATGCTTGTCATGGTTTATGTCAGTGGCCCCAAGCCTCATGCAGTTATGTGTTTGTGATTGGTTCATTGTCTAGCGTTCAGCTTGGTTGGAGCAGGATATGATGTAATGGCGGGAAGGTCTCTCTCTCTCTCTCTCTCTCTCTCTCTCTCTCTCTCTCTCTCTCTCATCAGTTTCCAGCTTGACATTTGCAGCTGCCATGAACTGTGGCCCTGTCATGCCACCCTGCCTTGGAGCCAACTGAGTATGGACTGAAACCTCCAAGAACTATATGAAATAAACCTTTCCTTCCTTCATTTTGAGTATCGGGTGTTTTGTCCCAGCAATGAGAGAAAAGTAACTAAGACAATGCTCTTACAGGGCATTTTGAGCTATTACACATCAATAAACAAGTGAATTATTTAAACTAGGTAAGTGCCCAGACATGGTGACCTATGCCCGTAATCCTAGCATTTGGGAGGCTGTTTGGGGGAGGGGTTGTTTATTTGTTTGTTTTCATTTTTTGAGACAGGGTCTCACTGCACAGTTCAGGCTGGACTTGAACTCACTTCATAGCCCAGGCTGGGCTCAAACTAGCAATTCTCCTATCTCAGCCTCCTGAGTACTGGGATTATAGACATGGGCCACCATCCATGGCTTATAGTAATGGAATTTACTAGTTCTGCCTTTTTATACTACTCATAAATTTGTGATAAAGCTACAAACTAACCCTTACCAGTTTATTAACTTCATACTGAAAAATTTTACTAGCACAAGGTAATGCCTAATCATAGCAAACATTACCTTTACATTACACAAATATGTAAACTAGTAAAATTTGAAATTGCAAGAGATTTATAGTGCCTAAAAAAGTACAGTGTATTACAGAGGAATTTGTTCAATTCTGTAGCAGAGTGGAAGCTTAGTGTTTTTTTTTTGAAAGCAAAACAAGAAAGGATAGAAATGATACAGAATTTTAAAAAAATAGTAGGAAATTAATACTAGTTAGTATGTTACATATTGTTATCTTAGAAGTAGCTGTTCAGATTACAAGATCTAGGCACAAAAATAATCAAACAATGACAGCACAAACCGTTCTTTCTGATGAACAGAGGTCTATCTTGCATATAAATACATACATTACCAACCATTTTGAATAAAAACCAGAACTTTATATGTTTACCAACCATTTTGAATAAAAACCAGAACTTTATATGTTTACCAACCATTTTGAATAAAAACCAGAATTTTCAAAACTACTGAAAATCTGTTATGCTCTATGCTTATCGCCCTAGTAACCATGTACTAGAGCACTGACCACATTGTTATAAATTTGTTATAAATTAACTGACCGCATAGTCATGCTGTTTTGTATGCATCGTTCCCCCCACCTTAGTAGCCTGTTTGCTGTGTCAACTTTTATTCCCCTTGTAAGAGACAAATGATGCTGTGTCAACCATTGTTCCCTTTATGAGAGGCAAATGTTCCTAGAATTGGCAGACCAAGGACTATAAATTGGCTAACCACACACTGTAAAATGCCTTGGACCTCAAGCAAAGGGGAACAAAGGCCCACCTTGTTTCTGTTTCTCATCGCTATGTACTTAATGATCAATGAGCTAATCATAAATGAACTATAAAAAATCAGTCAAAATTCAGACTCAATTGCACAACTTTGCAAATTCCACCTGCACTGTGTCACTGGGCCAGCTAAAATAAAAGCACTTCTTTTAAAAAGACATTGTCATCCTGCCCCATTTTTCATCTCATGGGACCTTGTTTTTTTGGTGGGGAGGATACAACAAAATCCACTCCAGGTATAGAACACTGGGAGACTGGCAGTTTGGTCAGAGTACAAAGGACTTTGCATGTCATCTTGGGTAAAAGTGATAATGATTCAGTTACCAGCATCAATTACCAGAAGGGACAAAGGGCAGTGCAGCCGAGCTTGATATGTTCCTGATGAGAATACAGGCTAATGATTAGTACAGAAACTCCTGGAATTGTTCTGATAAAGTGAGTGTTTCAAAACACAGGTAAGGAATTTTCAAGAAAACAAAGAGCTGAGTGGAGTGGTGAGCTGTGTCCTGCACAGCTCTCAAACTTCCCAGGGTGAGGACTGCGAAGGGCAGAAAGGTGAAGAAATGAAGATAAGATACAGAAGGCTGGGATCCTCCTAATGTGAGGAAAAGGAACTGCTTAATCTCTGCAGCTCATTTACTTACACATTTGGCAGGTTGATATTGCCTGATACCCTTCTGCCTAGCAACCTGCCTGCATGGTAGCCTAAGGGCTTGGTATTCCACTGCAGCAGCTTCTTCACGTGGCTCATGTTAGGTGCTCTTTGTTCTCTGGATGACTTTGCTCCAGCCCCACAAGTGTGATGGGTCCAGCTTCAGCCACTTGCCATAGTGGTATAGGCCTGTAATCCCAGCACCCTGAGAGGCTGAGGCAGGAGGGTTCCAAGTTCCAGCACAGCTTGGGCATTTTAAAGACTTAAAGATATCCCGATCAAAAAAGAAAGAAAAAAAGACAAGGTAGTCAGGGGTTAGAGATGTATCTCAGTGCACAAACCCTGAGTTCAATATCCAGTACCTCAAGGTGTGTGTATGTGTGTTTGTGTGTAGGGGTTAGTGACTTATTGGTTGTGTGGGAATGAAAGGAAGTGGAGACCACAAGAATCTCTAGTTTTCTGGGTTTTTTTTTTTGTCTTTTTGAGACAAGATCTTGCTATGCAGGTCAGGCTGGCCTTGAGCTTACTTTGTAGCTCAGGCTGGTCTGGAATTTGCAAAGATCATCTTGCCTCAGCCTCTCCTGAACACTGGCATTAAAAATATGTGCCACCATGCCCAGCTTAGTTTTCTGATTTCTGATCTATCAGCCTTATAGATGTTAATATTGCTGTTGCTCATGAAAAGCCTATTTTCTTTCAGACTGTCCACATACATTAACATGAATTAAAGTTAATTTATGACCAGAGAAAACAAGAAATATAGAATAGAAATAATGAAAATAACAACTTAAAATGAGTGTGGTGTATCAAAAATAATTTGAAAATTAGGACCTCTACAATTAAAAACTGTGGAATCCATATTAGCCTTTTGGTTGGGTTTTTCTGTTTACTATGAATTCACTTTAAATATACAATAACTAGAGAAAGATGCATTATTTTTGGCCCATGACAATGGTAAACACAGTGCAAAAAGTCACTATTCATTTTTTATTTGCCAGGCAGTACCCGCATGAAATCAAATGAAAACTTAAGCAAAAGAGAAATTTAAACATACTTTGCACTGAATGATAAAGTTCTGAGGCAAAATTAGGTTATGGATAAGCATAACTTTATTTTCTACAGATTACACACTATTAAAGACAGTTAGAAATATTATGGGCAGTCACACAAGGATAGGCCTTGAAGGGGTCAGTGCAGGAGAACACATTATAACTATGCATGGCGGCTTCTTTGTTGCCTGCAAGGCCTCAAGGCAAAGATAAGTGTTTATACCTCCTTCCCTAGGGATAAACAATATGACTGATAGCCTAAATAGGCATTAACCACCTGGGTAGGGGACCATCACTTTCAGGAAAGGCTTTTGTTCTTTCTATGCACACTTGCTACATTATTTGCTTCCCCACTGGATCAGTATTGTAAGTGAGCATACTTGTAATCTTATTGGTTGACCTTAGTTTTGTCCCACCTTACAACCATCTCATGATTTCCTACCTACCTTGTGATTTTACTCTATTAATTTTTCTTTGAGAAGTGAGCTTGTGGGCAAGCCACTTTCCAGGCCCCTTTCTGTCTCTTAGAAGTTATCTTTCCCTCAATAAGGATTTCCTATTCTTAACCTCTGCTGTTAGAACTCATTCTTAGATTTTGGGGAATACAAACTCTGTGTATTGGACATGTAGTAGATTGGAAGTTATAATTGAAAGAGTTTTTGGCACGTTAAAAGAGAGGGCATAAAGTAAAAAATAGCCTTTATTCCAAGGATGCAGAGAGGAGCCCATGACCATAGACAGTCTAGCCACCTCTACCAAAACGTGGGGGTATGGGATATATATATATATATATATATATATAAAACCTCTGACTGGGAGTGCATAGGGCGGGCATTGATGAGGCACCAGGAGCTGACTGGAATTTTCTTTTCGCAGACAGGAAGGGGAGTTGCAATTCAGGCTGAGGAAGAAAAGAAGCAGGAAGTGGTAGGCGTTCCGCTTTGGCCTTCCACTATGTTAGACCACCGCCATAAACGTACAGTAATGTATTTCTTGGGCAAGAACCTTTCAATAATATTTCCCTTACATTATTTGGATGTCCCATATTGTCCCTATATAAATATGAGTGAAACACAATTTGGAAACTGATATTCCACTTTTCTATAAACTGAGCCAATTCGCAAAGGCTGAGACACCAAAGGCTGCCTGGCCTTACACAGCCCAGCAAGCCCAACAAACTGCAACTTCCCAACTCCACCTAAACTATGCTCTACTGTTAGAACTGGTAGTGTTAACAGGCAGTAGAGCTAGTTAGAAATAGCTAGGCCCTCAGGAAACTGGCACAGAGGACCAGGTATCTTGTGACCATGGAGGAGACTCACACCTCTTGCTGTGGGCCAGATCTAAAAACAGAAGGCAAAACAAATGCAACCACACCTTTAAGTATAATCCTTAGGGATTAAATATAGATCATTTTGAGAAGCCTGGAGTCACCATCCCCATCCCCTATAGGAAGAGTCACTGAGGGAAGAATGCTGACTCCCTTATGTGACTCACTTCCCCGTTTACCCTTGATTTGGTCAATTTCACCTGAAAAATTAAACTTACTGGTTGACCATAGTTCTGCCCCACCTCATGCCCATCTGCCTTGCAAGTTCCCAGTTTTCCACACTTTACACCTGCCTCACCTTATGGTTTTAATCTATAAAAACCCCTAGAAAATACAGAATCTTTGGCAACCCACTCCGGACCCCTTCTGTCTCTCTCTCAGACAGAAGCTTTCTTTTGCTCAATAAATATTTCTACTCTTAAATTCTGTTGTTTCTAAAATTTATTCTTTGATTTTGAAGAACACAACTAGTAAGGGACATATAGTAGATGGGGAGTTTCCTCTCCCTATGACAGTAGGAAAGAAAAATAATCTGAAACATGGCTGTTCTCCCACTCTCGCCACCCTAAAAGCCCCAGAAGGAAGGCAGAAAAGGCCCTGGTGTCCACTCGGAGATCACCAGGTCAGGAATGGGTTCTGCAAGTCTTCCATGAACTGCTGACCTAGTCACCTCCAAGAACCAAGCAAATGCCTTACATGCTGCTTCCTAGTTCCACACAGTCAACTCAGTGTACGAGCTCCGCCCTCCTCCCGTTCGCCCGCAGAATTTGAAAGTCCTTCCAAAAGCCAGAGGACAGGCGCATGCGTGTCTTCCCTTGCGGCTCTCCCCACGGTAGAATAGAGCGGCGGATCTGGGTGTAAGCTGGACGAGCCGGAAGTCGCTCTGCGTCAATTCCACGCTGCACGGACGGAAACCCAAGTCCTGCAAACTAGGTTCCGGTCTTCGTGAGGGCTGGAGGCGCAGGAATGGAGACCAAGACTGGGGACGCGGGGTTCACCCGCAGCCCGACGCTAGCTTCTTCGTGGGATGCTGCCAACGGGGCGCTGACCCAGAGCCTCCTTCTTACCCGGGCTGGGCTCGGCGCCCAGAATTTCGACTGGGAGGAGCTTCTGGCGCCGCCTGCTCCTGGGTGCGCCAGGCGGGAGGGAACTGAGGTGCTCAGCGCGGTGACAGCCACGCTCCCGGGGAGCCGTGACTGGGGACTGGGCTGCTAGGGCACAGGGTCGGGGCGCAGGACCCTGGGACCCCGGGACGGAGCGGGGGCTGCGAGGTGGAGCCAGGGCCTGAAGTTCGGACCGAACCGGGGAGGGAAGTGGGCGAGGCTGCGGGACGCGGGTGCTGAGCGCAGGGCCCAGAGAGGACCTGCAAACTCGGGTCAGAAGCGACTGCCTGTGCCCGACGGGGCAGCTCGTCGGTCTCCCGGCAGCAGGGTTTTCCTCCCAGAAATGAGCAAAAACCTGCTGTCCACACACATGCACACAACCAACCCACGGGAGAGAAGCGCGTAATTTTGGTTAAGAAGTCTGCCTAACTTTGGCAGACACACTTTTGTCCTTTTTGTGCACACAGTGGGTGTCCAATGAATGTGTTTAATTAACTGAGAATCCCAGATTGAATATAATGCACATGATCAAAGGAAACGAGGTAAATACCTCAGTGTATAAAGCCTCCTTTCTTGTGGATTCTTTATTAAGTGTTTGTGTATGTTTGAGAAGCTTCTTGGATCTCAAGTGCAAGTGGAAGTGAGTCAGAAGAACAAGTGGGCTTGGAGACCTGCTCAGAAGAGCACATCGTATAATGTGTTTATCAATTTTCTTCTCAGCCAGGATCTGGTGAGCTTAAAGAGCAGCCAGAGCCCCCAAGGAGGAAACCCCTGTTTCCTTTATCTGATGAGTGACCCTAAAGGAAAAGAAGAAATCGATTGTGTTGGCCTTTTGAGTTCAGCAAGAAACATGGAAGTGTATGTAGGAGAGGAGTACTGTGGAACCAGTAGGGGCAGCAGCGTCTGCACCGTTCTGGATAGCAGGTTTGTGGCTTGTTCAGGCGAGTGTTCTTGTGTGTTAGTGCTCTGATTTTCCCCAGCTTTGGGAATAGTGATTGATTCCCTGACATTGATGCCCCCTAGAAATTAGGGGAGAAAAAGTAAAAATGTACCCATAGGCCTCAAAAGTTAGACGGTTAGTTCACTTACGGTCCAGATAAAGCTTGTTACATTTATAAATTTATGGCTAATTTAATGGAGACAAATTAGTAGTAGGTTACAGGTAATTAGTGGAAGAGTTTTATTAGAATGAAGCCATGATAAGTATTTCTAGTTTCCTTTCAGTCTCAAGGCTCATCTTTTAAACCTGAGTCAGCCCTTGGTGTACTGAAGACATTCTACACCATTCCAAATGGTGTAGTAATCTGTGACTGCCATAGCAGCCTATCACACTATAAGCTGCTGGACCTGTTATAAAATTAAAATTGTGATATTCTTCCTGTTGTCTTGTATAGATTCTACCCCAGTGTTTCTTTAGTATAGCTCAAAATTTGAACCATTGTATATTCCCTTCGTGTTGGAAATAACTATTAAAAGTGATGTTTTTAAAAAATCTTTTTTGTTTTTAGTGAATGTGATAAGATCATTTTGTATAAAAAATACCTAAAATTGGAACCTTCAACACATGCATGTAAAATAAAGGTAAGTCATTACCTAATTTTAACCAATATAAATTAGAGCTAAGTTGTTTTTGTTATATACGTATGTGTTTTCTGCTAATTTGGTTACAAATTAGTCCATCATGGTCCCTTATTTTACATTTATGTAAAAGAAAATTACTTTTTGAAAACTACCAATCCTTTTTACACTGAGTTCTCCAATTAAAATGGGACTATTTAAAGTAAAGAAAATATTTTGTTAATTTAGTATTGCTTTACTTTGAAGTCTTGGAAACTGAGCTAAAACTTTTTTTTGGTACTGGGGATCAAACTCACATCCTTGCACTTTCCAGGTAGGCACTTACACAGCTGAGCTAAATCCCGGCCTACAAAAACATTTTTGACCTATATGTAAAACTGTTGTTCCAGAAATAAAAATTAAAACCATATGCAGAACTTTGACCCCCTTTGTTATTGAGGAATAATGGAATGAGGAGTTTTAGATATGAGAATTAAAGGTAAAGGAATTTTCTTTTGTCTTCAGCATGAAAAATATTTCCTTTTTTTAAATGAAAAATATTTCAAAGGAGAACTTTAATGATGTCACAGTCTAGGAATAGAATACTGAGATGGGAGTCTAAAACTGTGACTTTTCAGCTCACTTGCTGACTGGTACATTATTAGCTTTGAGAAAGTTACCTGTTTAGATCTACTTTATGAATAAAGTTAAAATACTGAAAAAAAAGCAAATTCTTAGGTTTGTAAATCTCTGAAATCTGTGTTTATTGTCATAATTTATGGAATACTATGATGTTTCCTTTTAGAATAAGATAAAAAATAAGTGATTTTTGTAGCAGGTAAAGAGCAAACACAGAAGGGACTGGGGATTTAGTTCAGTGGCATAAGCGCCTGCTTGGTGAGTTCAATCCCTGGAAGCAGAAAAAAAAAAAGCAAACACAGAACTGGGTATCACAAAAATACTATTTTAGTTAATAATAATAATCGTAAGCCAGAGATGTAGCTCAGCAGCCTGAACACCTGCCTCACAAGCGCTAGGTAATGAGTTTGATCCCCAATCCCCAAAAAATAAATAAATAAATAATAATGATAGTTTCTAAAGCAGTGTAAATAAAGTTATTTATTTGCTCAGTAAAAATGTGAGTGCCTCTTGATTGTAGATACCATACTAGGCATTTAAGAATTAGCAATAAAAAAATAAACTGAAATACTTGCCTCACATTGCTTGTATTCTGGTGGAGCAAGACAAATGATAAGCAATCTCAATGAGTTAAATATGGGCTATATTCCATGGTAATAAAGAGAAAAGGGATTACAAAGTAGAAGGGATAATAAGGGATTGAAAGATATGGTAAGAGTTTAGTATGTGTTTCCTTAGTTGTTGAGTACAGCTTTTTGAGCGTATTTATTGACTTACTTGTGACATGGTCTGTATGTATATGTCAAGGTGAGTATTTTTCATACTTGTATTATGGAAGCTCAAAGGGTCATTTCATTTAGGGGAACCATAGGGTATATATGAAAAGGGGCAATATTACTATATGAAACTCAAAATAAAAATAAATGTTCCTGATACAGGTTTTGAGCACTTTCCCAGTGGTAGATATTGATACATAAACATTCCAATGACCATGAGAAATCATTGTTACAGCCTTTCTTGTGTTTTGGGGGTCATTCAGGTTGTTAAGTAGCAGAGTCATAAGTTAAATCCAGATATGTCTGATTTAAAAATTTAGTTTTCATTTTGCTATGCTGCTGTGTGTACTACACCCAAAATGTCTTTTGATTCTGAAACATGGTGGGGCGCGGGGTATACCTCAGTTACGTAGTACTTCTCTAGAATGCATGCTGCCCTGAGTTGCATCCCCAGAATTTCCAAAAAGCAGAAGCAGCAGCAGCAGCAACAAAACAAAAACAATGAGAAAACTGCTAGAGTAGAAGCCAGAAGAGCTGGGTGCCACGCTGGATTTACATTGAGTTAGATAATAATTCCTGAAGTTACTTTTATGTGTAGTAGCCAGTTATCATAGATTATCCTGGTGTTCCTTTATAGTTTTACATTTGAAAAGACTGTATTTAGGATTTCAGTAAATGCAGTACTCTTTAGGTTTATGGATGCTTTTATATTTTGTTAAATAATATAGCAAATTGGTATGTTATGATGTCACATTGGTATGTTTATTTTCCCTCATTTAGTAAGTAAAACTGTTAAGTCTGTAAAATTATGTAATTTCCTACTTTTATGTGTAATCTTTTAGTTGACACGAAGTTGAAAACACTTATTTATGTAAATAGTTCGTCTGAGCTTCCTGATTAATTGAAATTTTCCAAACTGTTCTACAAAGTAAAGATATACTTAAAGTTAATTTTTAGTTTCTTACATACTGTATTTCAGTCTTGTTCAGGTAATACTGAGATGTGAGTTTACATGATGATTGTTTTAAAAGTCATTTTTTCTGGGAACTCTTTTGTTTCATAATAGTTGCTGTCCTTTGGTGAAAAGCAGTGTGTGTTCATCAGTAAAGTTGTGGTGCATATGAGACCGATTTCAGCACATTCTTCACCAGGCTGTCCTGCTCTAGGATCAAGGATAAACCTTGACAAAGTCCAAACCATGATGGAGTCCATGGGGTCAAAGTTATCACCTGGAGCTCAGCAGCTAATGAACATGGTTAGATTTCAGCAGCAGGTATGTAGAAATATGTTTCTTAAACATTTCAAAATGGTGGCCTCTAAGAAGAAAAAGCAGTATATTAAATTTTTCTTTTAATTTTTATTATTATCTCCTTTTAGTTTTGCAAAAGTAACATTCTGTAGAGTTATCCTTCCTTCAAAACATTTTGGCTACAGAGCATACCAATTATTTCATGAATTCACTCACCTACTTATTCAGCCGGTATTGGTTAAGCAACTTCTCAGTAAACAAAGTACTGGTATAAGAACCTTTGAGGGTGCAGAGATGATCAGTTAGTCTGTAGCCTATTTCTAGAGCAAATAATAACAGGGGAAGTTTAAAGTAGATTGAAGCTAGAAAGCTCAGACTGGAAATTTGTAAATGTTTTTGGTCTACATTTTAAAAGACCTGGATAGAAAATCAAAGGAAAATGAAACTAACAAGTAGATCTGCATGGGATGTCCCTCACCCAGATAATAAGATTTAAGGTTAGATATAGCAACATGGTGCTTAATTTTGAGATTCTAAAACAATCCCTTTGGGACTAGACAAGTAACTTAATATTGGTATTATGGGAGAAAATAGAGTCACATTGGAAATTAAGGTTTTGAGAATGGTGGTACCAGCAACATAATTGCTTCCCAAAAAAAGAGAGTACTTAGGGGAAAAAAAAAAAAAAAAGAGTTTACTTTTGGGAATATTGAATTTAGCTGTAGACCAGACATTCTGGAAAGATGTTACAGAATTTGGAAACACAGGATTGGGGAAGGTAGAGTGAACATTCAGCTGGAAGAGAGGTTTGAGAAATATACTCATAGTAGAAGTATTGTAAGGGAGAGAAGAAAGACCTTGGAGAGTAGCTACAGTTCCTAGCATACAGGGAAAGAAAGGAAACAAGAAGAGCAGCAGACAACAGTATGATTGGGAAGCAAGAGATAGATCTTTCATACAGTGACTTCAAGTTCTTGTCCTGTCACTTAGTTCTGCCTCCTTTGGCAGGTTTAGTCATTTTTTAGACATGAATTCTCATCAACAAAATCTGAATGATGGTACTGTCAAGATCACAGGATTGGTATGAAAATTTAATATAAATAATTCAAGTACAAAAGTTTTACCAGAGTAACTACTATGAAGATAGTAATATGCAATGTATTAATTATTGTTACTCTTCTATTAACCTACTCTGAAACTTTTTAAAAAAAATTTTATTTAAAGAAAAACTAAACAATACAGAAAAAGGGTGGAAATAATACATACTTTCAAAGAAAAAATAAATAGTAAGAAATTACTAGTTGATGATTACATATTGTCCTCTTACAAATAGTTGTTCAAGTTACAAAAGTGAAACATACAAAGTGGGGATTCAAACAGCAAGACTGCAAAAACTTAGTAATATCATTATCAGTCCTATACACTTAAACATACATGCAGTTATCCATATCTTCATTTATGTTGAGATTAAATAAACCAAAGCAGGCTAAAATCACTCTGAACAAAGAATAATAGTATTTCTGGATTTCACATCATGACACTACGGGATCAGCACTGGATACCATAATGTCTCTTTTTTTCTCAAAGTAGTTGTTCATTTCATCATGCTTTATAAGATCAGTTCTTGTAAACTGTTTATAGATTCTATGCATGCATGAGTGTCAACATGTATTTGTATCATTTCTATATTAGAGGGAGAAACAAAACAAAGCAAGATAAAACAAAACATTTTTCTATAAACACATGAAATGAAAAAGTCATATAAAACCCTTGTACAAGGAGTTCTACCATGGTTACCGTGTTGTCTCTTGTTATCTTCAATAGAATTGTCTATATCATCAGACATAGTATAATTGAATATAGCAATACCTAATATATTAATAAAAACACAATTTTGTAGATAGTGTAAAACTTCAAAAACAGGTAATATTCAAAACAGAATAGGTGTCATAGTGAATCTGGTCATCTTCAGTGTAGTTGCCTATACTCTCAGACTTGATACTATTAATCATAACGGTTTTGAATAAAATCTGTCAACAACCAATCAGCAATCAGACAAACCAGATTTAACTAAGATCAGTCATGGTAAAACAGTATAAGTTATGCAGGGCTCCAGATTATGTTAATAGGAAATGGTTACTGTACTATATCCTGTTATTTTTGAGATAGCTGTCTGTGCCCTCAGATCTAATGCAAGTAGACAAACTGGGACAGAATATAATTTATCTAAGCAGAGCAGTGCGAATAATGTGGGTTTTAAATCCTGGTATACTAGTAACAATATCCTCTGCCTTCTTTTTTAAGACTATTCATCCCCTTTCGCTCCTCCAGGTTGTACTGTGTATTTTTGGGTCTCACCACCTCCCTCAGTTTTTAGATTCGGGGGGGCAACCTGCTATTTACCTAAGTGGTTCAGAACCTTGTCCCTCTTGGACTTGATCTCAAGTTGTATTCCTTCACCTATTAAAGCCTGTCTTTCCAACCTATCTGCAGGTGCTGGATGAGTTGCCCCTATTACTCTCTGGTTCCCTGTCACATAGAGCATTGTTTTCTCATATTTGATTTTTGGTCCATAAACCCTTTTTCAGATTAATTATGTTTCCTACATAGAGCATCTTGGTGGACCCTACCTCCTGATCTACTCTGTCTGTGTTTCTTTTTTTCTTTTCTTTTTAGTGTATCAAGGCCATCTATATTGGAGATTATAGCCAACCCTCTCTGCCTCATTTCTGTTGTACTGTTTTTCTGCCATCAGTTGTCTGCTTTTCTCCTTCATTCCACTTTCTGCTGCATTCATTGAGGCCTCTCTGCCACTGTTCCTGAAATCCTGATACTTTTTTCTCCCTCCAGAATGTCCTTCAGTATTCTCTGTAGGGTTGGATTGGTGGTCACAAATTCCCCCAGTTCCTCTTTGTCTTGGAAGCGTCTTGTTTCTCCATTAATTTCTAGAGACAGTTTTTCAGGGTACATCAATCTGGGCTGGAGGTTATTTTCTTTCAGGGCTTGGACTACTTTACTCCAAGCCCTTCTTGATTTGATGGTCTGTGTTGAGAAGTCTGCCATCATTTTTATGGGTTTTCCTTTAGAGGTGATCTGTTTCTTTTCTCTGATGGCTTTTAATATTCTGTTCTTATATTGTATTTCTGAGATCTTGATTATTATATGTCTGGATGTGGCTCTGTTTTGGTTATAGGTGGCTGGAGTTCTGTATGCCTCATACATCTGAATATCATTTCCTCTTCCTATGCTTGGGAAGTTTCCCTTAATTATTTCTGTTAATAGCCCTTGTAGTTTTTTTGTTTGTACCCTGCTTCTTCATTCACATTCTTTATTCTTAAGTTATAGATCCTCTTGTTGTCTTCTAGCCTTTTTATTGTTACTGCCTGTTACCTTGTTATTTTTAAGAAATTTTTCCATTCATGATCACCCATTGCAAACCTGTCTTCAAGTTTTGATAGTCTATCCTTAGTTTCTTTCAAGCAGTTTTGCCAGCTTTCAATGGAGTTTTTATTTCCTGGTAATCTCTTTGAACCTGCTTCATGTATTCTGTTTTCTTTATATTTTTCATTGAACTTTTCTCTCCTTTTTTTGTGTTCCTCCATTCTTCCGTCTGTGTCTTCTTGAGAGGTACTTAGCATGTCTTTCATTAATCTACTTATATCTTGCTTTACTTGATTAAATATTTCACTTTTGAGCTCGTCTGTGAGGTCCTAAAGATATCTCTTCATGGCCACTGATGCCTTGTCTGGTATTGCATGTTTGCTGTCCTCAATCTCTTTTGTATATACCTCTCCTTGATCAATGTTCTTGGGGTTGGGAGTTGGGGACTTTTTCTTGTTTCTTCCTCCTGTCATGTTTTTGGTTTCTTCCATACAGGTGTATAGAGGAGGTTCCTTTCTTTGTTGGTTACGGTTCTTCTGAAGCGTGTTGGCTAGGTGATACTACCCACTCCAGTGTGTTATTGAGGTGCAAACAGGGGTAGTGTATGCTGGTTCCTCTCCTTCAGGTCAGTCAACCTGCTGAGGCCTTCACTGTGTTAGTGTGTGCCACATGTAGGGAACTGGTTTCGGACAACTTATTGGGTCTCAGCCAAAGGCGTAATCCAGGCCAAGCATACCCCACCAGTCTTGTCTGGGAAGGGAACAACTGACTGAAGTCACTGCTGTTTCTTGTTCCTGCCAGTCCACCCTGATTCCAAAATGTCGTTCCATTGGTGCCCCTTTCCCGTGGAAGGGTCTTATTCCCAGCACTCACTGCAGGTCAATGCACGTCCCTTGTTGGCTTTGTTCTCTGTTGGGCTTGCCAACCTCTGACTTCAGTGCGACTGCAGTTCCAGAGAGTCAAAGTAGTGGGAGTTTGGGTGGCTCAATGAATCGTGGCTATGTGAGTTCGGGCACTGCAGCAAGAGCACCGAATCTTAGCTGTTCCAACAGTAGCCCCAGGACTGCATATTTGACCTATTTTTTTTCCTTTAGTTTCTTCCTGGGGCAAGAGGATCTATCCAGCCCTCCCCATGATGTTTTATTTGAGCATTTGAGCATCTGAGTTGTGTGTCTCAGGGAGCCTCTATATTCTGCTCTTACATATCTGCTATCTTTGCTTAAACTCTCCCTACTTTGAAACTCTTTTGTTATTTTTATTTTTTCTCTTTAAAATTAAAAAAAATTTCTATCTAGTGTGATAGCACAGGCTTGTAATTCCAACACTTGGGAGAGTGAGGCAAGAGGATTGCAAGTTTGTGTCTTACTTGGGGAGCTTAGCAGGATCCTGTCTCAAAATTTAAAAGAAAGGGTGGGGACTGGTGGGAGCTGGTAGCTCAATACAGAGGCCCTCATTTCAATCCCCAGTACCAGAAGAAAAAAAGGTGTAAGTTTTGATCTACTAGGACTGGTGTAAGGGCACAGTTAAGAGAACCAGAAGAGAAGAAAATTAAAGGGAGAATTAGGAGAGCTTAAGATTCTAGAAACCACAGAAAAGAGCATTTCAAAACAGGTTGCAGTCTGAAGTTTTCTTCCATCATTGCCTTACCTGGATACTGTGAAGTGTACCTCCTGCACAACTACAACCCACCTTTTACATGGCAGCCACAGTGTGCTCAAAGGCAGCTAGACCTTGTCCTTCCCTGGGTAAGGCTCTAGCTGCTTGCCTCTGCATTTATTTAGAGTTAACCCCTAGTCCTTATGTTTACATGTAAGATTGGACCCCATCTGCATCCTCAGCTTTATGACCTATGATATTTCCATGGGTATCTAGATCTGTTTCTACCTGGGGACCTCTCAGCTATTTTCTTTGGCTACAACTCCCTTCCTGTGATACTCAGTTTTCTTATTACTCAGTTTTCTTCATTGTTACATTCTTAATGAGACTATGCCTACACACTCAATAAAAGTAGTCTGTCCCTCCAAATATATATATCATAATTTCATCTGTGATTTTTAATCACTTTTTAAAAATATGTATTGGCTGCTATTTATTTCACTAAAGTGTAAGCTGCATGTGAGCAGACTTGTCTTCTTTATGACTCCAAGTATATGTACATGTATCTGCCCATTGGACCTATAGCCACTGAGCTGTATTCCTCGCCCTGACTGGTATCTTTTAAAAACTTGACTCTAGAAAAAAATGCAATTAGATAGTAAATTTTGTTTGGGCTATATCTTTGCATTTTTAAGATTTTATTCTATAAAAGTTTTCTTTCCTTGAATTTTATCAAACAGAAATTTTAAATAAAAAAAACACGTATTTTCCTACTTATCCTTCTGATCCTCAAAGGTAACTTTATCCTCTATTAAGTTCTCTGCACATGTAGAAACATACATAAGGTCCCATTCCCATACAAGCAATACTCATGAAGAGTTGCTAATATATAACTTGAGTCCAACGATACTGGAACCCAGATTTAAGATTAAGGAACGTGGTAGTTCTGGTTTTTTTTTTTTTAAATGTTTTTAGAAACTTCCTTACTGCTTTTCATTATTGCATTTTATATTCTTACCAACAATGATTTTTATGATCAGTGAATTTCTTTTAAGCACTTTTGTATGCCAGAAAAGAAAAATTTACATAGATAATAATTTTAGGACCTGGGATATAGATATAGCTCAGTGGCACGGCACCTGCCTGGCATACGTGAGGTTCTGAGTTCAATATCTGATACCAAAAAAAAAGGAAAATAATTTTATGTTTAGATTTTTAAAAAATTGAGTGAGAAAAAATGGTGGCTTGATAGGGGGCTGGATCGAGAGCCTCTATGGGGAAGGCAGCTCAGATGCTAGAATTTAACAGCATGGAGAGTGCCAGACAATTAGAGGATGACTTTTATTAAGCCAGGAGGAAACTGAAGGGAAAAATAAAAGTAGGAAGAGGAAGGAAAAGCTTGGGTGGAGGGCTGTAGCCTGAGGCACTCACTGAGACCTGTTCTGTGCTGGGCTGGGCGCACCCTGGAGTTGGACAATCCAAAGTTGTGCTGAAGCTGCAGCTTCCGATAATGGGAGTCGATGAGGGCCAGTTGATGAGTCGTTGGCCCTTACAGGAAGACGCGGTGCAGCCTAAAGTGGAGCCAAAGGGGAGAGCTTTATTGGCTCTTGGTGAGTACTGGAAATTGGGTCCCAGGGCCCTGCACTGGAGGAGGCCACAGAGAGGACCATGTGCCTGCATGCCAAAGCCAGGCACCACACCACGCAGTTTTCTGAAGAGGCAGGATGCTGATCTAGACGTAGAAAAACCACATCAAGCTAGAATCTACCTTTGCGAAGGAAGGAAAAACGCAAGTGTAGGGCTGGAACCCTGCGCGCTTACTGAGACTGGTCCGCACTGTACTGGGAGTGCCATGGAGTCAGGCAATTCAAGGTTGAGCTGAAGCCACAGCCAATGATAACGGGAATTGTAGAGTCCCGAGCCCTTGGCGAAAGGATGCGGCATGGCAGGGAGTGGAGTCAAGAGGAGAAGCTGCATTGATTCCCAGTGAGTGCTGGGGATTGGGTCCCGCCGCTGCTGTCCCTGGCTGGAGGACATCTTGGAGTTGGGCAGAGCCTGTCACCAAGGCAGTGTCAGTCGACCGCCCCTGGTACAGAGAGGATAGGTGGGCTCTGCTGTGGCTGAGCTACACCTCTGGTCGGGACCCAATAGCCAAGGACAAAAAGGCCATGACTCGGTGATGTCCACAAGGTACAACATAAATCCCTGATGGAAAATGTATGTTGACTGGCCGAGAGGCTAGAGGCTGGCCTGCACTGTCCCTGTGTCCTTGCCTATACCTCAGATAACAGCAAATTGGGGAGGACAGCAAAACCCCAGTCAGCAAGCTTTGGAAAGACCCTAAGCAATACGGAGAGGGCCAGAGACCCCCAGGACACACCTGTCTGAAAGAAACCAGATACATGACAAGAGATAGAAATAAAAAAACAAAACAAAAATCCCTCCAGCCACAGACCCTGGGAAAATAAGCCCAGGAAAGGTAAATACAGAAGAGAACCAGTGCAGTAATCATGTAATATTAGACACAGCATCAGCGGACATAAAGAAATACCTTCATGACCTTATTGATGAATTTAAAGCTGTACTTCTGATCCAAGTTAGGCAAGATATAAAAATAATTAAAGAAATGATAAGCCCCCCCAAGAGAACACAGAGGGAAGAATGGAGGAACTCAGAAAAGAAAGAGAAACCTTTCATGAAGAATATAAACAAAATCTAGAATACATGAAACAGATCTAAAGAGATTACCAGGAAACTAAAAACTCCACTGAAAGTTGACAAAATGCCTTGGCAGAAACTAAAGTTAGTCTTCTGAAACTTGAAGAGAGATTTATGATGTGTGATAGTTAGTTTTAGGTTTTGAATTTAAGACAGAGATGTACCTTAACATTGACAACAGTTAGGCCTAGATATCATTTTTCTTTTCTTCTTCTTCCTTTTTTTTTTTTTTTTTTTTTTTCTTTTTTGGTACTGGAAATTGAAGTCAGGGCCTTGAGCTTGCCAGGCAGGTGCGGCATCACTGAGTTACATCCCTGGCCCCTAGAGATCATTTTTCTTTTTTTTGTCTTGTCTTGACTTGTCTTCTTTTTGTTTCTTTTTGTTTCTTTTTGTTTTTTTTTTGTTTTTTTTTGTTTTTGAGACAGGGTCTTGCTATGTAGTTCAGGCTGGCCTGAACTCACTGTGTAGCCCAGGCTGGCCTCGAATGCCTGGTGATCCTCTTGGCTCAGCCTCCTGAATCCTGAGATTATAGACACATATCATTTATTTTGCTCTTTGTTAGTGAAAAAACTTAAAAGCCAAGGAGGGAGGTAAGTATAACCTCTTCAAAATAACCTAGCATTTTCACAGGAAAGGATACTATCTTAGCAGTTTCATTGTGGCTTATCAGGTCAGTTGTCTTAAGGCAAGTACAGCCAAGTGGCAATTCATTTTAGACAAGGAAAATGTCTCATACATGCCTGTAGAACCTGACTTTAAATTTGTAGCTATCTGTGTAGCCTCCATGAAAAACTCATTGCAAAAGATATGACCAAGTAAAAGCGAGTGGTTTAACATAGATTTAAAGTTAGAGAACGATATAACAGTTTAAAAAAAATTACCAATTATTGTGACTCAATCAAGACTATGTTTTATTGCTACTAAGAAGGCCTTTCGAGTAAAAAAATATGTCAGTGCAGTTTTAAATGCATGTTAGTACTTATTTTAATATTTTTGGTAGAAAATGATTAACAGTTGTTGACTTTGAAGTTACACTGTTCAAGTGTATGACCTCGTTCTGTCACAGACAAGTTAGTTCCCTTTTGCTGTGGTCTCAACTCTATATTGAATGGTAATACGTATCTCATGAGGATGTTTTGAGAGTCAACTGAAATAATGCAAAGTGGCTGACTCCTAGTAATGACTGAAATTTATCTGTAATTCTTAACATTAATGTTATTGACATTAACAATAACAGTAACTTTATTTACTTATTTGCCTTGTTTAGAATTGTGTTTCCATTGGAGAACAGCTTCAGTCAGTTTTGGGAACTACTGGATTCGCGCCCATGATTACACTCCAGTCATCTACTTCAGGACCCTTGGACAGGTCATCCTCCACATGTTTTCCTTTTAGAACTGGATTGACATCTACAAACATGACTGAAAATTTAAAGGCTTTCATTGATAAAAGCACACAGCCACCTGATGAATTAAGTACTACAAACCATGATGAGTGTAAAAACCATTGCTTTCTTGAAAATGATCTTAAAAATGCAGTGTCTTCTTTCTTACCAAAGAAAGCAAGTGACAACTCAAATATGCCCAACTCTGAGCTGCTGCCTTTTCTCCAGAATCTATGCAGTCAAGTTAACCATCTCCGAGTGGGACATAATGCTAAGTTGCAAGAACATACCTCCAAGTCCCATGAAGGAATTGTTGGTGTTTCGTAAGTATTTCATTTCTTTCTTTTTTTTTTTTTTGTCTTTTTCCTTTTTATCGGTACCGGGGATCGAACTCACGACTGCCTGCTTGCAAGGCAGGCGCTTGTGCCGCTGAGCTAAATCCCCAGCCCCTAAGTATTTCATTTCAGTGAAGATGTTGTTTATTAGTTTTGGTAGGAAAGAGAATCAGAAGAAGGGAAACAGATTTATTTCAGTGCATATTGTCTTGAAAATCTCTTTCTGGAGAAGATTTTGTCAACTTTTCCATTGTGCCACTAATGTACTTAGAGGGAATAACTGTTCTACAGAATAGAATGGGTTGCTTTGAAAGAAGTACATATAAATTGGAGATGTTGCACATTTCTTAAGCATTCTGTGGAAGAATTCTAAGCCTCAGATAATCGTCTGAGACCATGTGGAAGAATGTGGAAGAATTCTAAGCCTCAGAGTAATTAGTGTGTTAGTATACAGCTCTAGATTGAACTTCATGGCTCTGGTAATAGTTTAAGTTCATACTGTTTTTTGTTAGACTTTGCTTTTAGCTTCCCGTTTTCATCTGAAAATGGGGTAGTTGCCTTAGTTTGGCAATAATAGCAGAATACACATTTACCTCAAGTATCCATGGAAGGTTCATAGAGATAGATTTTTATCTTGAATCATAAAGCAAACCTAACCAAATTTAAGAGGATTGAAGTCATACTAAGTATTTTCTCTTGACTACAAAGAAAGACCAAAAGACAGAAACAGAGAGATAAGTTCCTAAACCCTTAGCAATTAAACAATTTGTGTAAATCTATTATTCAAGGAGTCTTAACAGAAAGTATTTTAAATACATGAAACTATAATAGATGAAAACTTGTGGGATGCAGCTAAGGAACCGCTGATAAGGATATTTATAATATAAAATACATTAGAAAAGATCATAATTCTCAGATCAGTAGCACAAAACCACAATTCAATAAAAATGAAACAGATAATCTGAGTTGTCTTATAATTATTAAATAAATTGATTTTGTAATTTAAAAGCCAGACAAACCCAAAGCAAGTAGAAAGAAGGAAAGGGTAAAGAACATACATCTATTTAATTGAAACAGGAAAACAAATCAGTGAAGTAAAAAGCCAATTCTTTGAGTCTTTTAATAAAATTAGTAAGTTTCTAGCAAAACTGTGAAATAAAAGGAGATATAAGTCACCAATATAAGGAGTATAAGGGAGAGGAAATGTCTTTATAGATCTGAGGTCACTTCAAAGATAAGGGACTGTACAAACACTTTTATGCTTATTAATGCAACAATTTGGAAGAAATGAATTAATTCCTTAAAAAGCACACGTTGCCTAACAACATTAACTAGAGATTGGAAAAATCCTATAATCACTAAAAATACTGAATTTGTGATTACAAAGAATATGAAAAAGAAATGATTCTAGTGGAGAATTTTGCCAAACATATAAAGCAAGCACCTAATTTTTATACTTTTCCAAAAATAGAAGAGAAAAAAACCTTCCCAGCTCATTTTGTGAATCTAGTATTGCCCTGACACATAGTTAGATTACCCCAAAGAAACTTATATGTAAATATACATAAAATATATAAGTTGAGGGGCCAGGGATTTAGCTCAGTGGCATAAGCGCCTGCTTGGCAAGGTTGTGAGTTTGATCCCTGGTCAAAAAAAAAAAAAAAAAGTATATATATATATATATATATATATATATATAGAGAGAGAGAGAGAGAGAGAGAGAGAGAGAATCAAAAACTGAAAATTGTAAAATAATGAAATCACAGAGGAGCATAAAAAATGCAGAGACATACCATGTTCATGGATTTGAAGACTCAATTGATTTTTTATTGATTTTTTTTACAACTGTTTAAATTTTTTAAAATTTTATTTAAAGAAAGACAAAACAAAATGGGTAGAAATAGTACATACTTTCAAAGAAAAAAATAAACTAATAAATCACTTGTTGATGTTTACATATTGTCCTCTCATAAATAGTTGTTCAAGATACAAAAGTGGAACAATTAAAGGGAATTCAAACGTTGAGACTGCAAACGGTTTATCAATCCTATACTCTTAAACATACACACATTTATCCATATCTTCATTTATGTTGAGATTTAACAAACCAAAGCAGACTAAAATCACTTCGAATGAAGAATACTAGTATTGCTGCATTTCACATCATGACACTCCGGAGTCGGCACTGGGTGCTGTAGTGCCTTTTTTTCCTTCAAAGTATTTGTCCATTTCATCATGTGTCATAAGATCAGTTCTTGTATACTGTTTATAGGTTTTACACAAGCATGAGTCTTAACATATATTTCTATCCTTTCTATATTGGAGAAACAGAACAAAGCAGGACAGAACAAAAATATTCCTATAGACACATAAAACTAGAAAGACATATAAAACTGCTGTACAAGGAGTTCTATCTGTGTTGTCTCATGTTATCAACAGAATTGGCTATATCATCAGATATAGCATAACTGAATATTTCAATACATAACAACAACTGTTTAAATTTTGTAGTTGCTTTTTTTTAAGAATTAATTTTAAGGGCCCAGGATATAGCTCAGTGGCACAGCTCCTGCCTGTAGAGAATGAGGTCCTAAGTTTGATTTCTGGCACCTCCCATAAAAGAATTTTATTGATATATTTTGGATATACATAGTGATAACATTCATTATTTGGAATTTATGCTACATCTTAACTTTTCTTTTTCCCTTTTCCCTCTAAGCTTTCAACTCCTTTATCCTTACATAAAAAAGTTTTGTTTTCATTTTTTCTTTTCTTTTTTTTTCCATTTCCCTTCCTCCCTCTCTTCCCCTTCCCTTCCCATCAATATAATTGGTTGATAAAAGTGTTTAGCATACTTCATATCTGAAAGAGTTTTTGGCATGATGAAAGAGAGAATATAAAGTAAAAAATAGCCTTTATTCTAAGGACGTGGAGAGAACTCCATGACTGCCAGCAACCTGGCTTTCTCTGCCAGAATGTGGGATATGGGATCTGTATATAACCTCTGACCAGGGGTGGCCCCTAGGGCAGGCATTGATGAGGCATGAGAAGCTGATTGGAGTTTTCTTCATATGCAAACAGGAAGGGGAGTTGCAATTAAGGCTGAGGAAGAAGCAGGAAGTGATAGGCATTCCTGCTTTGGCCTTCTGCCACAGTAGACCACCACTATAACCGTACAGTAATTTATTTTAAGGCAAGAACCTTTCATTCCTGTCTTTTTATTGTTAGGAAAAGGGCAAAGTCTCTCTCTTACTTCTTTCTGCTGAAAGGGGGCACTGCACTGGGGTTCAGGAAGGTTGAGAGGATGATGGTTGATGCCCATGTAAAAGCTGCTACCAGGTGTTTTAGCCAAGACAACTTTATCATTGGTGAATGCCCACATGTTAGACTGGAAAAACAAAGAGACAAGGTGCTGTGAAAAGGAAGGCCACCATCATATTTAAGGACCCAGGTGAGGTAGAAAGAAAGGTGCCTTTGATTTAAATATGCCATTTCATCAGAACCATGGTGAGGTAGAATTGTAAAATTAGGTGTGGGGTTACGAGGAGTGAAGTTATGAGAGGTAATGATTTCACCATCTTAAAGGGTAAAAGTTAAAAGTATAGGTAGGTAGGGCTTGTCTCTGGTCCAGGAGTTGAGCTGGAAAGAAAAAGAGGCATGAGAAATAGAAGGCCTGATTGAATCATATTTGGGAAATTACAGAGTAGAGGAGGGAAGGGCTATGGCTCTGTCACTTTAAGGCAGATAAGAGCCTAGGTCTTCAGGGATCTCACATTTGGCCAAACAGCTGAGGGTAGAGAGAACCAAGACAATTGTCACATAGAATAACATGAAGACGATCTTATGCATGATGTGGGAGTCTTTAGGAAAAACTATCAAGAGTCCTGCTGTAAAAAAAGATAGTTAATAGAATGTAAGGAATTAGGAACCAAATTGGATAACAAAACATGACTTAGCCTGAGAGTTGTGGCTGTGAGGCCTTGGTGAGATGGAGACGTGTAGGTGATAGAAGATGAGACGACCACTCAGGATGGTTAGATTCAGAGTTGGGAGGGCACTGTTTAGCTTGAGTGATGTGAAACCAGGATGGCAGTCCAGCAACTGTGACCACTGTCCGGGTTGCCAAGAAGACTAGATAGCGGCTGTTCCACCTTGGTTTTAGTCCTGTTGAGTGATGTGAGAAATACAGGCTGGACCGTTTATTTGACTGAATGCTTCGAGGTAGACCAACCTTTGGGATGATTTCCTGTAACAGGACTTTAGTAACTTCATTAGCAGTCTCCTTGGTTGTGGGAAAGGCTTTTATCCATCCTGAAAAAGTACAAAGATGAGAAGATATTTGAGAGTTTTGTAGCAGGGCATGTGTGTAAAATCTATCTGCCATTCCTGATCAGTGTCCACAAAACTGATGAGTAGGAAAGGAAGGGAGTGTTATATGACCCTAAGGAGAGGTCCTAGCACAGAGATGACAGGTGTGAGTAATCTGAAGAATAATAACCCTTAGGGAAGGATGTGTAACTACTGGGGCTAAGAGTCTATATAGGGCCTGTGATCCTATATGGAAACAGTTATGTAAATCAGTGATGATGTAGACCTAGATAGGGACTTTTGGGGAAGCTATTTGGGCTTTAGCAGGAGAGACCCTGTACCCACAACTGGCAAGGAAATTAAGGAGACTAGCTGAATGCTGTATGACTAACTATGGGATGGAAAACGTAAGAGAAGGTAATCTATGTATTGAAAGAGAGTGCTAGGTTTGAGATCAAGTTCGGCAAGGTCAGCAGCGTGAGCTTGGCTAAATAAGTGAGGAGTATCCCTAACCCTTGGGGGAGCACCATTCAAGTAAGTTGTTGAGACCTAAGAGTGTCTGGATCATTCCATACAAATGCAAAGAAATCCTGACAATCAGGGTACAGCAGGATGGTAAAAAAAGGCATCTTTAAGATCTATAACTGTAAAGTGAGTGGTGGAAGGAGAGATAAAGCATG